ACCCGCTGACGGGGTCTGCACTAGTGGTGCCAATTTCATGAAATTTCAATTCCAATTCCGATCCAATTCCAAGAAATTGCCAAGTAAATTTCCAATTTTGTCCAAAGCGGGGGCTATTCCAATTTTTAACGATTCTTGCATTTTTTGCGTAAATTTTAAAAGTGTTTAAAAGCGTTTTAAAGGGACCCTCCCACCTTTAAAAAAGTTTATGAATTGGCATGAAAGTGATGTCGCTCGGTTCAGAAAGAGCGAAAACGAATATCTACCAAATTTCACCGAAAAATATTCACCGGTTTTCAAGATATTAGACTTTTACTTTTGTTTACTTTTTGGGATCTCCGCTGTTCCTAGCGACTTTATTTAAAAGTGCGGCATTTGTTGCGCGCAACGCAGCATATACCACCGCGTGCTACAAAACGTTTTAGTCAAACATTTAACGGACGTTCGAAAGCCTGATGACGTCATCAGATTTAAGTGCCTATACCAATACATTGTGGCACTTATTTGCACAGATGTCAAAATCAAACTCAAATTTCTTTGCGATGAAGTAATTGCTGGAGAAACGGTTTTCACGGCACTGATTTTCAAAGAACGTCCATCAAGATGGCTATCTCAACTCAAATCTAATGTTAAGGTGGGACAGTCCCTTTAAAGGCCTCCGTTTTAAAATTTTAAATTTTAAAGGCCTTGTGTTCCGATTAATTTCCAAAAAATGTTAAGAATTCCGTCCAAATTCCAAATTGGAATTGGACAAAAATTGGAATTCCAAGAAAAGAAATTCCGATTGGCACCAATAGTCTGCACACACACATACACGGCCCGCAGTGCAGTCAGCTGAGCAAACATCCCGGGACGCCGGGTACCGACACGACCGCACCAGCACGGGCACAGTCAACGTGGAATTAGGTACACAGCCATGAGGTCTATGTGCAGTAGATGCTATTTTGCTGGAAATATATATTCCATATGCTGACTACAGGTTTCTAAGGGTCTTTAGGATCACACGATGTCAGACCACACGGAACACACCGCATGGGGCTAATCGGACCATATAAAAATAGGTATATCAATTATCAATATCAATAATTCTGTCCACATTCAACAAACCAGAGAGCGGGAAAAGAGATATTCTAGAGCAGTAGGTAGAAAGTCAGATCACTGACCAACACAACTATTCAAATGAATGAGGAATTCTTAAAGAAGTCCGAACTATAACTCAAATCAATTCACCCAAATTCCAAATACCAAAACAGTGACAAGAAATTGGAAGAATATGAAAAATAGCATGTTATATCGAACAAAAAAGCAAGGCCATGATCATCCATCTAGTCTAAGAATTTCGCAACGAGATTAATTGCTTATCTAGCAAGGTTATTAGGTAAAATAAAGCACCAATTTTAAGTAATTTTGCATTCCATTATCTAATATAGTGTCACGAAAACGACCGTTCGGACAGGCCCGTTTCGCGGGATCTCCTCGCGTTTCGAGATCCCCGAATCAGCATGGAAATTCCAAGCGAAAACGTCCCATCCGAACGCAGGAGCTTAGGTATGGAAATGTTAGGCTTCATAAAAATTAAACACTTTAAGATACAAGGTGGGTAGATAGCCAAATTTCGATTCATTTTTGGTAAATGACACACAACAAAACTAAAGCTTTGACAGAGTGTCATTTCTAATCTTCCTCAGGTAAATGATAGTAATTTGTATTCGTTTCGGGCTACACTGAGGTAAAAATTGTTAAAAACCAAATATTTCGGCTTTATGGAGTAGCCATGTTCACTGGTTTGACAATGCTGTTTTCTCGTTCCAACTGGTTTGACAACCAGTGAACAAGGCTACTCAATAAAGCTGAAATATCTGGTTTTTAACCATTTTTTACCTTAGTGTACTGTGTAGCCCGAAACGAATATGAATTACAAAACTAAAGCTCTCAACTAAATAGCACTAAAATACGTGACTTACTTTGAAGAAGACTTTTAGAGGCAACGTGGCCTTTTATAGTGTATCCTACTAATTCAACTGAATCGGTATTCTGATTCAATCGATGTCATGGATGGTCATGGACAGGGATGGGGGAAAGGCTACTGCTAGCAATTACTGGGTTCCCAAATGCCGATCGATTGCAGCATCAGTGCTGCAGCATCTTCATCAGGGTCAGGACCGTTCAGCAATTCTGACTTGTCCATCCGTGGCCAGAACAAAAGAGGTCAGCAAGACGGTCATTGAGCTAGTGTCGCAGAAGGATGCCACAGATGTAATGGCAGAGCTCACTAATTCAGACGCTGAATACGAGCAGATAGGAGCTCTCCCAATCAGTGACTGGCTGCCCTCAAAGCAACTTTGGAGCAAAGTCTGAGAGAAATTAGCGATAACAGCGGAACCGGGGTGAAGTGACTAAGTGACGTCTTGAAAACATTGTGAAATAGGGAGCAGCTAAACTTGGCATACACTGATCACAGGTTTTAAAATAATGGCGTAGAGGTGTCTGAACCCATCCTAATGAAGAAACAGTAAATGCACTGGTCGAGGCACAGTTGTATAAAGGCCAATTGGGAAGAAATGCTAGTCAACTTTAAATGCTTTCTTCACAAATTCAATCATTTTACTGCAAAGGAAATAGTCTAAGAATGGCTTTTGGTTGCCTCTTTGTTTATGGTAAGCTAAAAGCCACAAAATAATCTGTCAGTAGGAAATCCTTCTTACAAACTTTTTTGACAAGATCGGGATTCCTGGAGCTCAAAATCAAAACTTAAAGGATCCTGGGATTGGATAAGCATTCCGGAATCATATCTATTAGTCACTTCTTATTCTTTGTGGTTTAGGGCACGTAGCATCTCTTAGTCACGAAGAGTGCAGAAATAACAAAATCATCAGAATACTATCAAGACAATATCCTGAGGATGAGAACCAGAACCAAAGATAAGACACCTCATTTAAGATACAACTGAAATGGGGACATCATACAAGCATACAATCTGAAAATAGACGTGAAAATATTTTAAACGGGAGCATTCACTCCTTTCATTTTTGCTGCGATAAAACATGAAATTCACCAAATAACCGTACCGAACCATACTGAAAATGCACATGCATGATTAACAAAATACATACCGAGTCTGTCAACCATCTTCTTTCTGGATTCGTCTTAAGGTCTTCAACGTCTTCAAATGAAAAATAACGTCGACACTCGATTGTCAATAGCGTCAATAGACTTGATTGCGATTGCTATTGTAACAGGTAGTTCTGCTAAACTGCACAATAATTTTAACTCTGCAATATGTTTTCACTTCTTTTCAATATGAGTCTTCTATTCGTGGGAGAAAAACTCCATAAACCACAATAACAACCCCTCCCTCGCACACACCCAAGGCCCGCACGGTTTATATAGCCTTGGCCCGCACACACCTCCCTCCGCAACAACTTTTACTTGTTCCTTTTACTTCAAGGTTGAATGAATAAGAGAGAGTGAGATGGCTATTGGGCTAAGTGCCAAACGTTATCATATGACGTCATTGGAATTTGCATTTAGTATCGGGTTTATTGTAGACGCCTTTTTCGACATAAAAAAGACGTGCAATGTGTAAATTTATATAATATTTTGCTAATGAGAGATGAGGTTCAGCCCTCTTACCAATGTCTCTTCGTGAAGATAAAACTTGACTTTTGAGTGCACTTTATAAGAATGCAGTGGCGGCGGAAGGTATTCTAGGATAGGGGTGCAAACGATATTGAAGCGCCCCTTCCCGCTGGGCGCCCCTTACCATGCCGATGGCCGTCCCTGCACTGGAAAATCAGTTTCGCCCCTATACAGGCGCCCATAGAAGTTTGCAGAGTGCTATTCCTGGTCATAATCATCTCCCCAGTAAAAAAAAAAAAAACGCAAAATACGCCCTAGCACTAGGGGTGTAACCGCCCATACGGACAGTGCAATTTTACAGGCCCCAATCTCGGACCTCCCTTAACATTCATATGTTGTAAACGGCAAACCGCCCCCGATAAATGTTACACAAACTAATTTCCTCTCGCATATCGGCCATCAGGCGCCCCTTTTTGTCGCATGGAGCCTGCAACGCTATAAGCCCTCATATGTTCGTGTTGGCGTTCGGAGGCTATGGCCTTCAAAGACGTCTCCATAAATGTTTCTTTTTCGTCCCACACACAGGCGCCCCTCTTTCGCATGCAGGCGCCCCTCTTCCGCATGGCGCGCTTCTCGAGTAGCTGCGCCCTCCTAGCCTTTATCGCCTGGCAAGATTATATTCGACAGGGTCGGCAGCATCTGCCTTTGTTTCAGATAAGGATGCCCTCCACTCTTCAGCATATCAAAAGATACTTTTCCCACGTCATTGCCACCCTCTTCGTGTCACAAGTGCCTTTATCAGTTGCGGTGTCGCCTCGCACTGCTCAGCTTTATGGCTGCCGCACCTCTTAACTTCCTGCCTCCTCTACAGATTTTCGAGGCGCCCCTTTCCATAGCTTTAGGGTGCAGCTGCCCCCCTTGCCCCCCTGCTTCCGCCGCCACTGTAAGAATGACTCCTGTCTCCTTGTCTGAAACCAACCCCTCCTTGTGGATGTGCCTCTTTGAAGCTCTTCAATATAACAACGCTAGCTGCTTATATATTATAGATGCATTTTAATTTTTAACAAATAGTTAGAACAAGGTAAGGCGTGAAGCTATCATCACTTTTAGGAAAGTATGGGAAAAAGCGCTGTTAGCGTCACCTATATCAACTGCTTTACTACATGTGCTGCCACCTATTACGAAAATCGGAACGATCCTGAATCTTCAATCGTAAATGATAAGCGCTTTGAAACAAACCTAAATCAATACTTAGCCTTGACCTCAAGATGAATCTTAAAAAACAAATCCTACAAATATTATAATATACAAGATAATTTAAAACGAGTTGTAAGTCACTAAATCATTTTTACCTAAGTAGAAGAAAAACCTTTCTAATGGTCATATGATTTGGCTACCATATTCCCAGCGCGACAAAAGCTACGCAGGTTACAAATTGTACGCATCGACCTCTGTGTGTGTGGTAGGTGCTCTTTGGACAGGTGAATTTAGTGCGTTTTTGTTGTAATATGCTGGTTAATACTGGGAATAGGACGTAGAAAAGTTAATTAAAGATTCAACAGAAATTAAATAAATAACGCGAATTCGTATCTTTTTCGATGGTTGTTGGTAATCGTGGCTGGTGTTTGTCCACTGAAGTCGGGGTCAGGGTTATGAGTCATGAATCAAAATTAAAGGAAATAGTTCACTTTTAACATGGGGTTTTGACCTGGAATAACAGTTTCGTAGCTTGGGCTGAGGGTAGCACAAATCAGGAGCTTTTACAGCCCAACGATTACCCTAGATGAAGATATTCCATTTCCTGTTCCGTAAATGGTGCCTTGCAGACGAATGTGTGCCTTGCTGAGGAATGCAGCTACATTATCGTCAGCCAATCAGCATGCTGCCTACAGCCAATGCAGCATGCATAGGTTTAAAGTATGCAATGCCACTGGTCAATGTGTAATAAGCTTCCGCGTCAAACATTATTTTATATAGGTAGGTACCTAGAAGATAGTTCTTCCTATATTAAAATATAGAAAATAATCCATTTGATAAAAAGGTTTTATTTTATTTTCTAATCATTTTAAGCACAAAATCATAAAATCATTGCAAAAAGCTTATTTCAGTTAAGGAAAATGAACTATTCCCTTAAACTGTCTTGATTGTACACCTGCTTTTTGAAGGAAGTATGCCACTTTCAACATGGGGTTTTGAACTGGAATGGCAGTTTTGTAACTTGAGCTGAGACTAGCACAACTCAGGAGCTTCTATGGCCCAATGACAATGATCACCCTCCACAAAGATATAGGTACCATTCCTCAATCCAAAATCAGTGCCTTACACAGGAATTTAGTGTCATATGCAAGAATGCCAAGAATGCAGCCATCTATCACAGATGTCAATGTCAAGCAATCAGCATGCAGTTGGTTTTGAATTACCTACACCACCTGATTGGTCAACGTGCATTAAGCTTCCGCCACAAGCACTACTTAGTACCTACCTATTTAGCCTCTACCAAAGATTAAATATAGGTAGTTTGTCCTTTTTTATAAAAAAAAATGTTTTTAAATTTCTTTTGTAGAGATAAATTATTTTCTTTTGTGATCATTTTAAGCATCAAATTGTAAAACTGTAGCAAAAAACTAACTTTAGGAAGGTGGTATATTTCCTTTAGCAGATGATTCTTTTTTGTGTTATTTCTTAAAATTAAGGAAGTTGTTGAAGAAAGTCTTTAATTTCAAGTGGCACTATTTGATGTGTAAGAAAAGGTGGTAAATGAAAATGTTGTGAATCACCAAAAATCTGAGGCCAAGCTGGGACTTAGGTTGGAATGGGTTGGGACAAGGCGGTTGGGATTGGGAGATGAGCTTGGATGCCATGAATGCTTTTGTTGTTTTCATTGGCCAACTTTTGCTGAGCTGCCTCTGATGAAATCAAGTAGGTTTAATTGCATTTTAGGTACTTATGGAGATTAGAGATGCCAACTAGGTAATATTGCTATTGTTTGCCTTTGTTTTTCAGCCCTTTTGGAGGAGCCATTTAGAGTGGGTCACTTCCACCCCAGGACCTCAAAATGCCTCTCTGTGGACCCAAGTGCTCCCTCTGTGGACTGATTGTTAGCGTTTGGGGCATCATCCAGCTTGTAAGTATCGGTTCACATGTTAAGGTTCTTTTTGGATTAGCTGATTAAGATCAGTCCTCAAAGAGGGTCTCATTGTCAATTTTTTTTCACCCCTAGTACAGTACACACCTTGTCATTTGTTTAAGTTAGGCACTATAAAATTAGCTTATGTTTGCTTATCCATCGATAATGAATGAATGCTCCTTTGGCGTTCAGTTGTTTGACAATATGTTTGAAGCTGTATCAGTAGTGAAGGCTCATTTTGTAATAGTAGGTACTGCTGGTCTGGTTTCACCTCTGACCTGTGTCTCCGTCCTGCAGTCCATTATGGGCGGTCTGTTCATGTGGAACAGCATTGGTCTGATCGAGGACCTGGGACTCGAGGAGCACTACGACACCACCGAGGAACTGTACAAGGCTGCCGACGACGCCTACAGCAGTGTAAGCACCTGTGGGACTCTGATATCAGCGAACAATATACACATGGGTTGAGACTTATTTTTATTTAAAAATACCTGAGCACGTAAAACCACCTCATTCCCAGGCCATTTTCATTCTCGATCCTGTGTGGTTTGTTTCTGATCGTGACTCTGCATCTGTTTTTTTTTTCAGATTGCGTACAATTGCTGGATAGCGGCGGCCATCTACCTGGTGACGCTGGTCATATCGATGCAGCAGTTCCACGTGAACAAACAGGCGGGCCACTTCCAGCTGTGAGGGTAGCCGGCCGAGCTGCCACTGTCTGTCTGTCTCCCGGCGCGCACCTCCCGGTCGGGCCGACCACCCGGGTCCGGCCACTTGCATCCACCCAGCCAGCCGAGGGAGGACGCGCCTGCCGAACAGCGGCCGGACCCGCTCCCTGTAGATAAGGGCCCGGCCACTGTGAACGCATCCTGTAACATTATCTGTATATAATCATGTTTAGATGGATTTACCGTGTGTGCGAGAAATTGTCCTAGAAGATATGTTAGGGAGCTTGCAATATTATCACGTGCGTGATTATCCGATTATGTGTCACGTCCTGTATGTTTTGTGGAAGGTTTGCGGTCAGTGAGCGCCCTTTGTGATTCTGTACTCTGTAGCGTCATCGGTGGTCAACCGAACACCATATTGACGGTGAAGGAAATCTGAGGTTACTACATTCCAGGAGTTTTAGAGCTAGCGATGTCATACGAGTCTGATGGATGCATATCGTTTGACTGGACGCCGCCTGTTTTAGTCAGCGAATGGCGGTGAAACCTTGAACCCCAAGGAATAAACGCAACAGTCTGAACAACGTGGCATGTTGCGTTCTCGATCGGATAAAAAGCTTAGAAAAGTGCTATGGTGGCCATGTGATTAGTGTTTCCGGCTAGGGATGAGAAGACCACGAAACCTTTAATCTAAAAGACTAGCTGCTTTTACGCTCGTCTTCGCCAAGACATCAATGTTCAATAGATTAGTAGTCTATTAGACTGGCCGATTCAGAAATCCACACGTCCGACATTAACGTACTTCGACTTTGGTGTAGTTCTGCTTCCCGGTCGTGAGCGTTTGTGACCAGTGACGCCACCTCCTTAAACATTGTACACAACACTTCAAATGTAATAGGTGCGCTTTATTAGACAATGCGCGTCTCCGCGGCGCGCCGCCATGGCAACGGCCGCTCCGTCACAGCTCGCTCAGATCGCCGGGCAGTCTCCCCGGCGACTCGGGCCGCCCCAACACAAACTGGAGCCAACTGAGTGGCGCCCCGCGACCGCAGTGGAAGCATTTACCGGCGCGGACACACCGCCGGCTATTGCAGCAAACGTCTCTCGGTCCAACCGCCGCGCGCCCAACAACACTTCGACCTAGAGTTAGACACGGCGAAGACGCAGCAGGTGATTGGAAATAAATAATCTGACAGCCGGCGACGACCTGTCTGTCCGTGATTCGGGTCAGTAGCCGCGGTCCGGCCCACAACAGGGGGTTACGGAGGAATCGGACCAGGCCGCGGCGTCACACCGATAACAGACACCCCAGCGGGCGCGTTTGAGACACAAATACTGCATACTCTTAATAGATGTCTGAACAGGCAAGCTCGGCTTGGGGAATGAACATACCGAAAGACTACGCGTTGAGAACGCGCTAAACAGGCTATGAAAACGATAGAGACGAAAAATAATTCCAACAGCAGGAAACGGATTCAAAGCGTCTAAAACATCGCTATTCTGTACAAAAGAGTTCAAGAAGACGCGTCGACGCTGGCAGTTCAATATCGTCAACTCATAGAGGACATTCAACTCTCACGCTGGTAGATCTTTTCGAGCATCTTATAGAACACCTTGTGCGGCACTCCGCGCGAGGTCTGCTCGATGAGCCGACAGATGAGTTCGTAATTGTTCAGCTCGTACTTCTTGTAGACGGAGATTAGGTTCAGGTCGGTGTACAGCTGCTTAATCTGTTCCACCTTCTCCGGGTCGGAGCTACCGTAATTGTCCTGCAAACGAGAGGCGCAAGTTAGAGCAGCCCTGACGAGTAAGTGATGTGCCAGCGTTCAGTGGATGCCTGAGTGCTGAGTCAGGCGGCAGAGGTAGTGATAACACACGCCAGCAGACAAGAGGCTGGGTAGAGGGAACACTAAAACTGTAACGTAATCCAAAGCTCCCTAGCCAATCCCGCGTGTAGATAAGCTAGAAATTAACTTTCTTCTCTACGATGTCCTAAAAAAAGCAGGGGTCATTTGACATCCAAGACCATTAGGATCACGGACCTGTCCTGCCAAAGTAACTTCCTAGAGCAGCCACGGCCCACACCGTTTCCCGGCCCAACCGTGTCGCGCCGCCCGGTGAACAGCCTGCTCAGGTCGCCTGAGACCTGCGTACTGGTATACTCTGCCTCTGTACCCGTATGATGTTTCCGCACCTGTACTATCTGCTTCAGTACCGGTATGATCACTTTCCATACCTGTATGGTCTGCTTCTGTACCTGTATTATCTGCCTCTGTACCCGTATGAATATCAGTTTCCATACCTGTATAGTCTGCTTCTGTACCCGTATGATCTGCTTCTGTACCTGTCTATATGATCAGTTTTTGTACCCGTATGATCAGTTTCTGTACCCGTATGATCAGTTTCCGTACCTGTATGATCTGCTTCTGCCGTCCGGAGGCCCGCTGCAGCGCCACCACCACCAGCCACGAGCACTTGCCGTCCTGGATGTCGGTGCCCACCTTCCCGGTCACGGCCGGGTCACCGAAACAGTCCAGGAAGTCGTCCTGCGGACACAGAGAGGGCAGAGCTCGACAGTTGCTACCGCAGTCGTCACTGCTGCCGACGGCCATTGTATCCCCCGTGTTATACCGGGACACCGAGTAATAACACGGTATACGGTGACGATGGCATATGCATATCGTAACAGCACATAACACCCCCATATATACCAAGGCAGTTGGAAAAGACTGCGACCATATAGTTTATTCTTTCCATACAACACTATGATAGTCGCAAAAAAATGGACGATACGAGTAATCATTTTCACTACCCCCGGTAGCAGCAGTCAGCCAAAGGCGCAGGTGTACCATCAACGAATGCCATTGCACAAGTGTTCAAAGTTCACAGGCCCCTGGGTAGTCACAGTCAGAGGGTTGAACGGGTGCCTCACCTGGACTTGGAAGAGGTTGCCCATCTCCAGCAGAATGTGCTTGGCCTGACGGTGACTCTCCGGGTCCGAGATGCCGGCCTGTGAAATAACGCACACCGTCAGCAACGGTTACTACGTCTAAACACCCAGAAACCACAGCACACCTCCATCGATATCACTCCAGCCACCACTGGTACACGGACTGTCTTCTTCTCTGGCCACCGTCCATCAGCCAGCCGCCACACTGCACAGTACACATCAAGTATAACCATCCCAGACCGCGCCTGCACCGTCTCCGTCTCCGCGCTCACCATGTGCATAGCCAGCGCGATGGGCAGGTGGAACGAGTAGTGGGCCGTCTTGTACTTGACGATGGCCGAGTAGCGCTCCATGGTGTACTTTTGCAGGTCGAGCTTCCCGCTCTGGGCGCCCAGTAGGTCCAGACTCTGGCCCAGCGTCGTCTTCATTGTCGTCTGTGAATCACGGGGCAGGGAACAGAGGTGAACACACGCAATTAACTGTGTCTGTATGTGTGACATGTTGCACTATAATCCAGATGACAACAGATAGCTGACACCTGAAATGACGTACACACAGTTAATGACAGATTTATCGACAAAAGAAAAGCGCTCCCGGTTCTCAACTCCTTGTCCGTCCTACCATCTCGGCAATCCCACCCTCGACAAGTCTACCGTCTCAGCCCCCGAGTCTCATCCCCTCCGCTTCTATTCCCATCGCCACTCAGTCCCTTCTTCCATTACTCTCGTCCCTCAGTCTCTCTCCCCGTCCCCACAGTCTCCTCTTCCATCTTACCTGATGCTCAGTCTCCCTTCCCATCCCACACACCTCCCTCTCCTCTCCCATCCTTCCCGTGCCTCAGTCCCCTCTCCCCATCCCGTCTATCCCCTCCGTCTCACACTGTGGAAGAGGTCGATGAGGTTCGGGTAGTAGGGCTCGCTGCTACAGTGCAACTTTAGGAGTTTGTATATCCCGGCCTCCATCAGAATGGCGTCGTTGATGGCCGGCAGGCCGAGGCCGTCCTTGCGGTACCAACACTCCTTGCCGCGCCGCGTCTCAGAGTTGTCCATTATATCATCCAGAACGAGGAAGAACGCCTGCATCTGTGGGGCACACGGACAGGGGGTGTGAGGGGATACTGCGCGGGGGGGGGGGGTCCAGAGGCTGCGTGGGGTGATGGACGCTGACCACAGCAGCCGAGCCGACACGAACCCAAGGACGGGATAAATGGTACTGATGGTCAATGGTACTGGTGAGCTGACGAATACATCAGACACCGAAAGTCTAGATAATCCATAGAGTTAGGTAGTCTCAAACAGCATCACTGCTGGAATTCAGATGAGATCAGTGGAGACATTTCTTACGAATTATCTAAGGTCAAGCGCATTCATAACAACATAACTTGCGCTTTGCACGTTACATTCACGAATCTGATGACATACGACTACCGATTGGTTGAAGATAGTTACACGCACGATCGCACGATCGTTACACGCAAACACCGCGACCATATAACCGTTCCCAACTGATGACCAACAGCAGCTCAGCGTTACTTACCCCTCCCCCACCCCGACACCGTCCAATCGCCAGGGGGGGGGGAGGGGACGATTCGGGAGTGTTGCATCAGCGGGCGCCGGACGCCCCCTCCCCTCCCCATGCCCTACCACCTATCCGTCAGGATGTGCCAGGATACGCGCTGCTCGAATGATCTTGTTCAAAACACAGGGCCTGGTATAGGCTACGATGCATGCTGAGCTCATCTCAATGCATTGTTCCGATATGCGAACGAATTTCGGTTTTATTATTCTGAGTTATTCAGAGTTCGTTCGTATAGTTTCAAAGCCATGGTGGTTAAAGCCGTTCAAAAACCAATAATCAGGCAGGACCAAGATAGTTGATATGGCAGATCACATTCCGATTCCTGTTTCCTGATCCTAGTAAGCTGTTGTCGACAAAACAGACCATTGATTACAATGCGGTCCGACCTGCTGAGACTAGAAAATCAGAGGACAACCGGAGACGCCGTGACGCGACTCAATGCGACATGCCAGGTTACCACACTCACCAGTGACCACTCACGACAAACTATAGCAGCCCACGGCCTCTGACGCAGTTGCAGCTATCTTTGGCCGTTGTCACTCACCAATTCGACGCACCATCCGACAATGTAGGCCTGATGCATCAGCTCCTCAGTCTGTTTCTCCGCGGGGACCAGCATCTTGTACGTGAGCGGCACGGCCAGGCCGCGGTTCATCTTACCACCCTGCACGTTATACTGAAGCACCTGCAAGTATTGGTAAGACGGGACGGCGGTCAGCATGTCGGCCAGGCAGCTGACGGACTGTTAGGGGGCGGGAATCGGATGAACATTGAACAGTTCTAATGTAGTGCTAATGTTCGACATTATTTATCGTTTATGGTTGCACTCAAATTAACGTAGAATTATAGAAGTGTGTTTGATACCGAAAAATAGGCGATGTTCTCAGACCTTACTCTATATATGGTACTACGCCGCAGATTAAGAACCAAAGAAAATGTTAAAGTTGTCATAGAACGGCTTCTGATCTACCAATAAAAAGTCATCTAAGTAGAGCAAAATGGGAATGCCACCGCAAATCGAACGGATGTTCCCTGGTGCCCCTTATGAGACCCTACATTACGGCCCCGGTCTTTGCATTCGCCAGTAATTATCGTCAATTTCAAGGTCCCGTTAGCACACATCCACCATACGTTACACAGTAAGACATCACGCACCTTGGCGAACCACTTGTTGGCCTCCTCGAGGTCCTTGTGGAAGCCGACCTCGGTCAGGTTGCGCACCAGGTCCGGGAAGCACGCCATGAAGCCACGCCGCTCGTCCCGGCTGGCCACCGAGGTGACAGCCGCCGGCGGCACTGCCGTCGACTTGTACGTCATCCTGGGACACGGCGGCGGCGGGGGTGCGGTCAGTAGGGGTGGTGGCTTCAGCGGCGGTGGCGGAGGTCAGAAGGGGTGGTGGCTTCAGCGGCGGTGGCGGAGGTCAGAAGGGGTGGTGGCTTCAGCGGCGATGGCGGAGGTTAGAAAGGGTGGTGGCTTCAGCGGCGGTGGCGGAGGTCAGAAGGGGTGGTGGCTTCAGCGGCGGTGGCGGAGGTCAGAAAGGGGTGGGAATCGGCAAGGAGAGGCGGTGGGGCGATAAAGGAAGACGGAAATGGCAAACAGATGAGATGTTTAACATTAAAAAACGGCTACTTATATGTAGCTATTCGATGCTCCAGAACACGTTGAGACAACACTTCCAGCGGTTGAGCAAAGCGCTGCAAGCATTTGACGACGATCCAAATGCAAACGTTTGCAACAAAGACTCCACTAATTAAGCTACTTAAGCTTATCAACGCAGATGAATGAGCATAAAAATTGAGCTAATTGAGCTGAATTGAGCGCAGCAGCGTAATTCATATCACTTGATATGAAGACGATTGTAGTTCAGAGAAGAAATAGTGTCGTGCGATCATGATGAGAAGAGAAAAAGGCACCCCGAACTCCGCAGTCACCCTCAAGAAACAAGCAAGACACGTCATAAATATGAAAGGGATTACAGAAAAGGTAAGCCAACCACTGCACCAGTCTTTGAATGCGTACATAATTCAAAATAACAGTCACCAAGAGGTAGGAGGAGCAAAGTAGGCTGAATAGTGCAATGCGCAGCACACAGCGAAGTTGTAGGTATTAAGTAGGTATTTGGTTTGTAAATTGTACCGTGTTGAAAAAATTGAAGAACCATACCACCACAAAACAAATAACTCTTGGCATGCGTTATCGCCTCGGTGCTCGATAAACAATGCATCTGGGAGTAGGAAATGTCAAATGAGCGGCCCTACATGGATCACACGGGTAACTCACTCCTCTGGGGACGCCTCCTCTGCCATAATTGCAGCGTCGGGGTCTGTCGAGCTCAGCTCCCCCGCTCCCTTCAGCCACCTCCCCCTGTCAGTCACCCCGCCGTACTGCCGACCCCGGCCCTCCGGCTGCAGCTACACCCGCGCCGGGTGACCTCATCCGGCCCCGGGGCCACGATTGGCCGGAAACGGGCGGCGCCACCACCGGACATGTAAGCGATGGAAGCGGCGCCGGTCGGACCATACCGGACACCGATTCCGGCCGGCTCGCGGGTCTATCGGACCGGCACCTAGCGACGGCGTGTGCCGCGGCGCCTGTTTGCGGCAGCGGGGTGGTAGAATCGCCGCCGCCGCCAGACAGACGGACACAAAGGATGGTGTGTGGGCCGCCTGGCGAAACCCACAGCGAGGGGCCCACGATATATCGGGTCCTATCGGAGTAACCGATCGGACCGGGCCGGCGCGGCGCGGCGCGGCGCGGCTCGGCCGGTCCCGTATTTACATGCTCGGGGCGGTTGGCGGAGCCGGGACAAACGTCAGGCCGAGGCAGCGCGCCGCGGTGGCACAGGCGCGGGGCCGCCGGTGTGAGCACTGAACCACCTGTCGAGCGCTCGAGCAGCGGAGCGAAACAGACCGCTCCGAAATTGACGGCCCGAGCCGTGAAACGCCCGTGTAGCGGCACGGCGGGAGCTCCAATGGTTATCGCATAAAAGCTACTGTTCCATATGGAACAGTAGCTTAACGTCGATATCGACGTTAAAAGCACGGTTCAATAATTATTGAAAAAGGTGCAATAACACTACTTTTAACATTTTTAAATGTGGATAATTCCCAGCTATCGCCAAATACACGACTTGTAAATCGTCCCCGAAGTCCGGTATTGCACAAGTCGATGGTGCGGGGAGAGGAGAGGAGTGGAGACAGGCAGACAGCCCGAACCGTGCCAGCGCCACAGGGTCATACTCAGCCCTAACGTCGAGGCGCAAATAGCGCATACTGCATAGTGCATAAATCACCGGCCGCCGCCCCAGTCATACACATTACACAGCAGTACAGCGCACATAACGGGCGGACGCTGAACAGCCGCGCAGTTCGGCAGTAGTAACGCCCGTGAAAGACCTCACAGACCAAGGACGCCATGTTCAGCGCCGAAACGAGCTTCCGCCGATTACAACTTTTCAGTTATCATGCAAATGTTGCTATTGCATTCGGTAATCGCGATACCTTCCGTTTCAGTAACGACAAAACACGGCAACTTTAAACAGGATCGGTTGCAATTACATTCAGCCACGGAATTCCGGTCCAAATGCAATGAGTTACCGTGACTTGTTGATCATTTGATGACCAGCACAACACAAATGTTTGCTGACGTTTCCTTTCCGCTGCCGAATGGCACTTAGCCATCAAATCCGGAAAGCTTCCCTGCCCCGTTCAGCCACTCGAAGTGCGATGTAAATTACCTAGCACTGATGTGAAAATGAACTGAAAATGAATGCAACAAAAAGGATCGGGGCAATATAAACCACAAATCTATTGCTCCTGAGCAAAGAGAGAAGGAAAACTGTCAGTGAGTTATCTGTCTGCGGTTCAAGAGGAATAGATCGCTCGGCGCTCACCATATTTCCTGATGGGTACAGAGTAAACAGAACGACGATAAAAAATGTGGGCACCGTTAGAGGCAGCTGCTGATACAGCCGCCTGGCTGTCCAAGTGTCAAAGTCAGCTGACTCTCTTGTATATACGTGATTGTAATTACCCGCTGACTGTTGGGAGTTTACAGACTACAGAGAGGATGGGGCGGTGTGATACTACAGTCAGGATTAGCTGGGGAGCTGGAGACGAGTCAGTCCGACTTTTACAGACGGCCCTTGGCAGACTGGGGCGATTGGCTGGTGTGACCAGGGAGGTCCGTTGTGAGAATGGTCACCCGACTTATCTGTTTTCGGGGTGACTGGGTAGATACGGTCAGTAATATAACTGGTGGCGACCAGCCGAGGATGGTATAGGGCTACGAACATATCTGTGGTAAGGACAGTGTTTCATTTTTTCAGCCTTTTTGGTGGCAAATCACACCTAATGGGGAAAATATTTTCATTCCTAAAATATGAATGACCAACTTTACTTCATCTCTGAAAAGAGTTTCATGTATTCCCAACAGCCAGTTCACTTATCACTTGACAGTTGATGCACCCACATCCTTTTGTTCCACACCCTGTCAAGATCCTGACATGAAATCCTGGTTTATCAGTTAGCATAAAAATTGGCATTACACCATTTTGCAAAAATACTGCAGCATAGATAACAGTTCTACTGTTATCTATGACTGCAGTTATTTACTTTCTTTTTTTCATCCTAGGATTTTTTTCTTCATCGGCACACCCAACCAATATCCAATTTTAGAACACTGGGTAAGGAAGGCGCCATAGATGGAGACGCCTTGCCGTGCCGGAGGACGGTGCTATGACTGCGGGCGAGTGGCGGCGAGGTCCGGTCGGTTAATCAGCCTACAGCCATTGGTATGCCGGTGTATGCGTGAGAGCGGAACGGGGAGGCGCGGCGGTGGGAGGGGGGGGGGGCGGCGGAGGGAGGGAGGTCAGTGACCGGAGGACGGTCAGGACCGGCGCGGCGGACCGAACGGGCCGGCCGGCGAACGGGGCAGGCGGCGGAGCAGGACACTGACAAACAGCCGGCGGAGATCGCGCCTCAGCACCTCCATGGAATACGAGAGGCACAACCTACTGCCTGGCAGCAGTGCAGCACAACCAGCCCATGGAATAATACATGCACCGCAGTGCACTTTTTGAGAAATATTAGTATGTCCTCAAATGAAGACACCACATTAAGCAATAAGCACGAACAATGCATTATGGAGTGAAGGACGTTGCACGCTGAAAGGGGGGAGGCCGGAGGGGGCAGGCGCCGTCCACCAGCCCAGCCAGCAATTTAATTTGGCTCAAGTCGGTTTTACCCGGCAACTCCCACATGCTAGATTTAGGACGGTGTAAACGGAACGCCGTCCGAACATGGGCATTGGGTCGATGCGGCTCCATTCCAGTTAGCCAGTCTTTGCCGTAGCGCTCCAGAGCTGGTATGGTTTCGGACCACCAAGTCCGGCTCCAGCTGCCACGGCGTGCTACGGCCGGGTCCGGCTGCCTCGTAGCTGCTCTGGCTTACTGTGGCTGTATTGTATTGTATTGTATTGTATTTACGTCATAGACTCATCCCTTCATGAGATCGGAATCACAGGGCTTTTCTCGAGTCAGAGTCAACACACGCTAAGAAATGCAATGATGAGGATAAAAAGTGAGCACACATAAACCACACTACACACACGATGCAGAAGCTAAAAGCGGTTACAGCGACATGTCAGCTCATGTCACCGAAGATAAGAGTTCTAGGACCTTGCTGGTAAACATCGAGGTGGACATGGCCCAGAACTCGCGTGGTAGGGCGTTATAGCCTGCGGCAGCGCGGTACACGAATTGCCGCTTCCCCGCAGCCGAGTCGTGTATGCGGGGAAGACTAAGCAGGTGGTCCTGCCTGGTGCTGCGGCTACGGTCTGGACGCTCGGCATTAGTGGCAAATAGTGCAGCTAGTGACTCGGGCTGACCTGTTCGTCTAGCTTTGTGTAGGATGTTTAGGGTTTGGGCTTGAACCATAGTGGAGGGGTCCGGCCAGCCGAGGGAGGCACGGACAGAGGAGACGTGGTCGAATTTCTTTTTGCCGGAGATGATTCGGGCCGCAAAATTTAGAATTTGTTGATGGTGGCGAGGTTCTTGGCAGACCCGTTGCCATAGACAGAGAGGCAGTAGCGGACGTGGGAAAGGACGAGGGCAGACACAAGGATTGGGAGAGTACCGGATGGTAGGTAGTGTCGGATGTGGGAGAGACCGATAAGGATGCCGAAGCACTTCTGTGACAGTTGCGATACGTGCGAGTCCCAAGTGAGATGGCGATCAAAAGTGACACCGAGATTTTTTGCTTCAGTGCAAGGTGATAGCACGGCTTGCCGAAACTTGACCGTGAACGGTGGGAGGTCTCGCAGATTTTGACGTGAGCCGATGGGAAGTAGCTCGAATTTTGACTCGTTAAGTTTTAGACCGTTCGAATGAAAGTAATCACCAAGCGACTGGAGAGATGTCTCGAGTTTTAAGATAAGGTCAGGTAGCTCGGACTTGTGTCCAGAGACTAAAACCTGGGTGTCATCGGCGTACTGAATGATAAAAGAGTCGCCAGCGTACAAGCTAAGATCGTTAACGACGATGCTGAACAAAAGAGGACCCAACGATGACCCCTGGAAGACGCCCTGGCTAATGTTGAGCGGAGGGGAGCTCTGTGAGGCAGAGATGGCTACGCTTTGCGTGTGACCGTCAAGATAATTTCGAAACCAGGCAGTGTCAATGCCGTGCAGCTCGAGCTTGTCAAGCAATTTAGAGTGGGCTGAAGTACGGTTCACGGTTGAGGTATGGCACGGCTGATGTTGCCTAAGTCCGGCTGTGGTGCGGGCGAGCTCTGGGATCCGGGATCGTGTGTCAGCTCCAGTAGAGCTCCAGACTTTGCCCATACTTCGGCCAGAGGAAGTGCCGGAGGCCGGAACTGGCCAGGGTAAAACCAGATACGGCCCAGACCAATTTGGATGACTGGGAGTGGGAGACAATCTATAGGGATCCTTCAGAACATGCTGGGCGGACAGCTGAATTAATGACACACTTGACCTTTTATTCAAGCTGACATTGTGAGATTCACAATATTTTCAGGCCTGGTCAGGTCGCTAAATATGAAGTCATAAGTGAGCCTCTGCATGACCCTAAAATGTCACAACTTTGCAAAGCCCTCAGTGCCAGAGGACTGCTCAAGGAAGATGAAACTTACAGGACTTAGTAACCTCCCAAGGCCTTGCATTTTACATCTCCCAGGTCTCTTTTTAAGGGTCACCTGAGGACAGATTGGTCACATGACCTTGCCATTATAATTCATTGGGGGGAATGTAGAAATTGTTATTTTGACACCATAAATGATCTAAGACAAGCAAATGGAATAATGATTTGATATGATCACTGCAATCTCTGATGTTTAACTCTTGCATTGTTAGCTTTTAGCCCCTGGCTGAAGAAAGTCTTGGATCATGAATCATGAATCATGATCAAAATAATTGTCACTTGAGATTTGAGCTGACCAAATGCAATCAATTATATGGAAATTCAGGGCTGCAACTTGAATACAGCTTGAAGCCAATACATTTGGTCTCATCTTGATTCCTGAATAGATATGTAAGTAACAGGGAAGTTCAAAACCTCTGGTTAACAATATCAGCTGAATACCTACAACATAATTGAAATAATGGACGTCTTTAATAGTTAGGTATAACCTGCTTTACAATCACAAACATAGTGGTTTTTGTGATGTGGTATTGTCACACTGATTCTCAATTCAATAGATCAGACATACACTCAGGAAGTAGAGGAATAGAAAGACACAGACATGCAGATGCAGTCGGGCACACTGTGGTATTTCCGATCCATTTATGGAAACGTTTCCATTTTTGGAACAATGTTCCAAAAATGGATACGCCGTTTCCAAAAATAGAAACGATCTGTTCCATAAATGGAGACGCTGTGTGCATCGCTACCTTTAAAGCAAACTGGGCATTGATTGGTGCAATTTGGCATGCGCAGGATGCCACCAATCGACAGCCAGCATTCTAGTTTATGTTCCTGTTCTCCGACTTTCCGATCAGAAAACCGAAAGTTGACGAACGAGGCGATGCTTATAACATGTTGACGTGATAAAAAATTCACACGTTTTTCTAATCGAAAATAATAACATTTATGAATGTTTTGAACAAAAAATAACGTTTTTAACAGACTACTGAAAGACTGACCCATTGATTGGAACAACCACATCACCGGGAACTTCAGTTTTTCATTCATTATCACGCTGCGTTTTCCGGTGTACCAGCGGCCTGGTGGTCGTCAATCTTTGATTAAATCGCATGAAAGTTGTTGCAAAGCCCTATTTGGAGACTTAAGTGGGCATTTTATGATATTTCAAATGTGCTGAATATGATCGTAGGCTCGGATCAACGTAAATCTCCGTGCAAATACGTAAAAAGCAGGATGGAAATAAGGTCTGCACCGTCGTCACACCAAATACCATTGCATTCTGACGATGAATTTATTCATTCTAGCTCATGTGTAACATGGATATTAATTTTATATGTTGAAATGATATCTACGCTTTATGTATTGCCCACTTTGGACCACATCTGTCCAGTAGTTTCTGGGAAATCTTAGTTTTAGTTGACTTTTGAATGTGCTCAAGTTGCGGCTCGTAAGGTATTATTATCGAACCCGACGTCCAAGGTAACTGCCGAGAGCCGAGATGCTAAACCAGTCCCAAAACATCAAATTTTTAGTTGCATGTGAATTTTAAAAACACATTTAAGCTAAGTTTGCACACATTTGAACTTCAGCGTTTCTATTTTTGGAACATCGGCGTTTCCATTTTTGGAAACAAGTCTCCATAAATGGATACGATTCAGGAGCATTTTAAAGACGTGAATTTTAATGCATACGACAGCTTTCCATGCAAGAAGACAAGTGCTTTTGGTGTATCTGAGCTTGTTTTACGCGAAACAGTTGTTATACATCGAATCCAGCCACCCTTGGCAAGAAAATATGTGCGGAGATGTTAGCGTTTCTATTTATGGAACGAGCGTTTCCATTTTTGGAACAGAAGAGTAGTCAAAATTGGAAACGTTTCCAATAATAGAAACGTCTCCATAAATGAATCGGAGATACCACAGTGCGCCCGACTGGATGCGGAAGAAGCCTCACCATCTTTGAAAAGAATGAGAGCAAAAGCCAGCACCAGTGCATTCCTGTGGTGAAGCATACTTAGTCGTTGTCAGAGATCTTGAACCATAGCCAACTGAAGGTGTTGGCCTCTTCATCTTGCTTCCATCAAAAGCAGCTCCGGAACATGATGGAATGATTTGTTTGGGAAGCAAAGACTTTAGGGCCAGAACATTTCTTCCTTTCAAAAGTTGTGAAGCCATTGTTCCACCTCTACGACCTAGACAGCACAATATTCAGAATACTAAGATAAAAAACAATTTTTCTCCTTGCAATGACACTTCAAAAACAGCAACAGCGCGGCACGACACCAACCACCCCAATCAAAAACAAATATAAACTGAAATTTTGAAGGCGGGTCTGAAGAATCAAACGTCTATGATGCGCTAGTTTTGAAACAAATTCATTGAAACCAAATCCAACAAAATGCTACCAAATCCTTTACAGAGAAAACTGTTTTCCCTGGCCTCCACATTTTCTTCCGGTCATGTAGCAGCGAGGCTCGAAGGAGAAAATCTCATTTATCTTCCCTTGAATAATCCTTGAATCAGCATAAGTTTGCGCATTTCCCAAAAAGCTGTTTATTTTTAGCAAATAAATCACGAAATAAACTTGGCAATCATCCGTCGAAACATTGGACGTCAACCACCTAACGCGACATCTATATCAAAGCGTTAGTTCCCAGGCTTCCCGCTTCACTGCTCTGTTGGCGCTGATCTGCCGACACCAGCACAGGGTGATGACGGCGCAGATGAGGTCCACGCAGCCGGCGGCCACGCCGACAGATGTCAGCACAGTCGACTCTCGGTCCAGCCACCGCGCTATCCCCTGCAGGCAGCCCTGCAAGAAATCCATCCGATGTCATTGGGTGTTGTCGTCGGTGACTCGAATGGGTGAACACCAGTGATAATAGCTCAAATAAATGGCTAAATGTGTCATGCTTGGAGTAGGGTTGACTTATAGACTATCAGAGCACCAGTCGCTGTCAGAGGTGGACCAGTGCGGTGTACCTGCGTGTGCCTCTGGCTGTGGTGCTGCAGCGGGTCCCTCTCCTGACACGTCTCCGGGTCGCGGGGGTGCGGGTTACGGTACGGCTGCGGCGCGTCCTCCCGCAGCGCACAGCAGGTGAGCGGCACGCGCAGCTCGGCGCCGCCCAGCTCCTCCACACGCCACCGCGAGTAGTTGTAGTCGGAGGGGAACTGCACGCCACAGCACTGAAACTGCGGCACATACTCAGTGGGACTGCACGCCACAGCACTGAAGCTGCGGTACACAGTGTATACCTTCTGCACGCCACAGCACTGAAACTGCGTAAAGCAGCACGCAGTCGCAGGCAGCTTAATCAGAATGCCATGATTCATTGTTGTTCGCTTTGAACTTGTCAAATAATTCATGGCTTGACGTAAATAATACATACCTGAACCACGGAATATATAGTCTACGACAAGACTGTAGATGCCGAAGACTCATATTCAGTGCCTGGACTATTAATAATTAACATTCTTCTGTTATTCTTCCGTCATGATAACAAACGGTGAACAATGCATGGTAACACAGTTGTTCATCAATGAAAGTAAAACAAACATCGATATTTTTTCAAATTAGACGAGACCACAAATGACATAAATAGAAACAAATGCAGATATAATTACGTCAGTCGATATGCAACTGCTTACAGAACCTTACCTTGTACTGAGCGAAGTCGATGGCCATGGTCTCCTGTCCACGGTCGGGCACGCCGTAGTACTTGGCCAGCTTCCTGCCCAGAGTGTGTGCCAGCGCGGCGTCCGTGCGCTGCTGGTGCACGTGGCTAAACGCGCCCACCGTGATCTCCGAGCACATCGTGATCGCCACGAAACAGAAATACTGCCGACGGCAGAGACGGCAGAGCCGAGTCAGTTCTCCGAGCACATCGTGATCGCCACGAAACAGAAGTTGCCGACGTCAGAGGCGGGCTAATAGGCATAATGCATTAGGAGAAGGACACATATAGCCATTGTCTGGATTGAAGTTCATGAAGATATTCTCATGTCTTTTGGACATAAGTCATCATAATCAATACGCATTCCTCTCATTTCCATAAAACCATCGTACCATTGTCTTTTAAGCGAGAGCAATAAGTGACATCAGAAGGTAATGGGCATTTTCCATTTATTTATACCAAATTTGTACTTATAACGTAAAACGATCTTGCACTGATACCTAGGTTATATTTCGGCTGGGCATCTAAGCCGATTGTTACTTACGAATGCGACTATGCAGTAGTCTTGTTTGACGGCTCCGAGACAGCCGAGCAGGCCGACCAGAAGTTTGAACGTACCGATTAGAACCAGACCGACACACAACAACCTGTAGGGGAGCAGGTTCCAATTAGTTAGTTATACACTGATCAGCATCTGAGGCCGGCGCACAACAGTCTCCAGAGGCACAGGCATCAGTAATGGATTGCTGTCATTTGCTCAAATATTCGACAGTCGATATTTATCTTTACCAGTCGGAGGATATTCTATTGATATCCACCAAACGTCATTTATAACATTGGACAACCGGTATATTGCATACAAGACAATTGTCATCTGCCGCAAACTTCTCTGAGACAATTACGTAGATACATGTTTACAGATACACCGCAAAAAGTGTGAAACGATACCAACAAATAAGACAACTAAATGAAAGCTCCACTTAACCCGCGCCCCGCTGGGCTATTCAGCCATACGCGCCCTGCTGGGGGGGGGGGGCAGATTCTGCCCCCCTGTCTAACTTCCGAACCGATGGTCGTAGAAAGACGGGGAAAACGGCAATCGAAAGCTCTCAACAAGGCGGATCTTAAGAGCCCAATTTTTTTTTGATTAAGTAGGTCAGAGGTCAGGTCAAGGTCAGGTCAAGGGTACAAAATGCAAGTTTCTACAGTATCGGCCTTGCACCGTAGTTGCCGAAGAATGGACTGAGACTGATTGCCCAAAACGTATTCTTAGACTACCGAGACAATATTCGTATCATACAATGTCATTCAAAGGTCAAGGTCAAGGTCAGGTCAGGTCAGGTCAGGTCACCAAAAACAAAATATAGAAATAGGCATGTGCGACACATGTTTTATGGGTCATTTCACTCATAGAATTCAATAGGCACACTCAATAAGTGATATGGACCACCTCTGGATGAATTTCAGGTCGAGGTCAGGTCAAGGTCAGGTCATGTGAGGTCAAATTTTGAAGTTGGTTGTTTAGGCCTAAAAAGGTGTCTAACTGATGCAGTTTTTCACGGCAAATCGAATGGTGCTATTTTTAATTCCGTACGAGGTCTAGAACTTCCAAAAAAATCATTTTTCAAAATTTTTGTTTGTCGTGACGTCATCAAATTTTGAATAACTCCCACATTTTTGAACCGATTCTTCTAAAAATTGGTATGTAGGTGCACAAAGACCACTTCTCTAACATATATTCCGGTTTTTCGATACACCAAAAATTTTGGATTTTATAATTATTTTCCCAAAAAAGTCAGTTTTTTGAAAAAATTTGGGCCAAAATCCAAAATTTTCAAAAAACCGAGATAGCCATTTGATAGACAAAGTGGAATCACGTATAACCTTTTTTGTTACGTCTTGATTCCTTTAAAAATGAAGATGTTAGCGGCGTTTGAAATTTTGCCGTTTTTGAGGCGAAAATGGCGAACATGACGTCACTAAAACGTCAAAATCTCAAAAATTTTCCGACGGATTTCGCTCAAATTTTCAGGAAGCGTGTCAAATTGATGTATGATAAGGTACTGTAAATTTGACGTCGCTGGCGTAACGCGTTTAGAAGTTATTGGCGAAAAACGGGAGGGGGGCAGATTCTGCCCCCCCCCCCCCCCAGCGGGGCGCGGGTTAAGAAATGATACTCTGGATCACCACTGATTGCAAGGATAAATATGATACTTTTTAAACGATAAAAACGAATGCTTTTCATGATACGTTTCATGGGTGTCGATTTGTATACCTTTGGGGGTGCTGCAGCACCCCCAATGCTCAAATGAGCACCCCCAATGGTTTTCCGGGCACCCCTAATGTTCCAGTTAGCACCCCCAATGATTTTGTCCCTCAGTAACTCCCACTAACTCTGCTTGAAGAAAATAATTGGTTCTGCAGTCTTTCACTACTAAAACTAAAACAATTACACAACTTGCAATGCATGAAATAAAGATGTAAAGAAAAGAAAAGTTAGTTTTAAGAAGAAGGGCAAAAAAACGGTAAGTTGCAAAGACACTGGTGTGGGTCCGTCGTACACGGATGTCGGACCCTTAGAGCTGCTGGCGCGTACCCTTTACAAGCCGGCAGGGGGCTCCAGAGACCGGCGACGGGCCCTCAGAGGCCGACAAAGGGCCATCAAAGGCCGGTGGTACCTTACGAAACCCTGTGGGGTCGTCTTTAGAGACCGACACGGACTCAGCGCCGATGGGGCCCTCAGAGTAGCCGGTGTGGGGCCTTCAAATGTCACCGGTGGGTGGCCGTCACATGCGCACTTGGGGGCCTTTAGAAGCTACGATGTTGGGCCCCCAGAGCCGCCGATATAGGGCCTTAAGAGGCACTAGTGTGGGGCCCTCAGATATGGCAATGTGGGGCCCTCGGAGCCGCCGGTGTGGAGGGTTCACAGTCGCCGGTGACGGCCCTCACAGGCGCCGTTGTGGGGGCTCTCAGAGACACTGGTTTAGGGCCATCACAGGCGCGCGTGGGGCCCTCAGAACTGCTGTTACGGAACGGACCCTTCATAGGCCGACAAGAAGATATTAAGAGGTCACCGGTGCCTTCAGAAGCCTTGTGGGGTTCTCAGAGACTGGTATGGTGCGCTCAGACGCCGCTGGGATCCTCCGAGTCACCTGTGTGGGATCGTCAGGGTCGCTGGTAACTGACAAGGGCCCTCAGAACCGCCCATGTAGGGTTTTTAAAGCCATTGGTGTAGGGCCTCAGAGTTAGGGGTGTGTGGCCCTTAGAGACGCCGGTGTGGCGCTCAGGGGCGCCGGTGAGGGCCCTCACAGTCGCCGTTATAGGGGCCCTCAGAGAAATGGGTGTGGGGCCATTACAGGCGGGTGTGCAGCTCCTAGAGCTGGCCCCCTATAGGCCGGTTAGGACCCCCAGAGGCCGGCAAGTGGGCCTCAGAGGCTGGCTTGGGGCCCTTATGGAGATCTTAATGTTGGTACTTGTGGGCCCATGAGGTGTTCTTACGAGCCCTGTGGGGCCCTACTTAGTCCAAATATGGCCAACGTGGACCCTCAGCGGCCAATTGGCGCCGCAGGGCCCCTCAGGCCCGAATAACCCGAGGGGCCCCTGAACCTGATGGGGGGGGGGGGGGCATGTGCCTCACAGGCCCACCTGGCTACGCCACTGACTGGAAAATCGTAAACCCATAAATATCGAAATGCGATCACCTGTCATTATCAGAGATTATTGTGATCGTCTGATTACCGCCAGAGCTTCGTAGCTACCGTTCCCTCCGCGCAATATCCGCTCCTGCGGACCGCAGGGGCTGCTGCACCGGTGCTAATCGCCGTCATCGGTTACTGTCGCCTTATTACCGAAGTGCCGGGGCTGCAACCAGCTGCCGGCAAATGTACGACTTTTTTCGGAGACATATTTATGTAATAAGGTAGCCAAGTACCTACCAGGACGAGCAGAATGATGCTGAAGAACGTTCAACCTTTGGGAAATATTAGTGGAAATCCCAGGATTATCAGTAGGTACCTTATGAGGATACCCAACCATGCCTTGTATGTACGGTTGTCCCCCATGGCAAAGCTGCAATCTTTCACCCGGTGCAGGGGTTGAGCACCCCCAACCATTTTGAAAAATCGACACCCCTGATACGTTTTTACTTCACTGAGTTTCGGCACACGATTTAAACTATCTGTTAAATGATATGTTTGTCGAACATTTATGTAGTGTTGATTTATCCAATAAGTTTGCCTCCCAAAGCTCCTTCACTCAACACTCATATATTTACTTTTTGAGCGTAAATACGAATAAATTCGGAGATAAAACAAGAGAGCGCTTATAGGTTGCGATAGGCGCGAACTTTGCTACACAAAGATCCATTGACGGGATCGTTACTAATGGCTACTTTGTACCGTCTCCGGACAACATCCTGCAGATCTGAGTTCTGACACACCTGAATGTGGGCAGCAGTAGCTGTCCATCCTCGATGTTGACCAGGAAGAACAGCAGCTGCCGACTGCTGTCCACCAGAAGGGCCGTGCCGAGCAACAGCAGCGCGCAGCCGGACGCCTGGGGGTGGACGACTGCAGGTCAGCAGCTGCAGGTCAGCACTAACTGCAGGTCAGCAGCTGTAGGTCAGCACCAGTGGGTCAGCACTAACTGCAGGTCAGCAGCTGTAGATCAGCACCAGTGGGTCAGCACCGTCAGCACTGACTGCAGGTCATCACCCAGCAGTGGCTGCAGGTGACAGCCAAAGAGCTTCTAGCATTGTGTCGCAGGTCGAAACAAAGCCGTCTGGGCTCCGTTTAAATCTGAGATGACAACTGACATAGGTTTGCTGCATTTGCTCGGACATTTATATTGCACCGTTATAATACTCATGCAAACTGTTGCAAGAAAACTGACATCTATTCATCCGAACAGCGATGCGCATATGAAGTATGTCACAAACCCAGTATATGAAGATGAAGAACAGAAGGAACGACTGGGAGGCGCAAGAGAGCAGACTCGCCATTTGTCGTCACATTCCCGGGGCTGTATGATCTGTATCTAAATATCTAAAGTTGTTTAGGTTTTGGCGTAGAAGTCATCGATTCTTCACTCTGAAACGAGAACAAGAAACAGCGTCTGTGATCTGGTGACAAAATTGGTGGGCAAGGTACATATATGCAATGCGCTAATTGCGCTTATGTGTTTACCGTTCACTTTTCACATAGGGACCTCCCAGTGCAATAGACACCTATAAATTACGTATAAATTCTAAATAGTGATAACGTGGTGACTGTCACCGTTTGGCATCTTGCGTAAACGAGTTATGTGAAAAAAGAAAGAAAAATAAAACAAAACGGTTTGTACGGCGGAACATATATAGGTACCAACGCTCGACGCAAATGGTTTGTTTCTAAGGAGCCATGTTAGTTCATTACATCTAGCAACCAAAACAGACGTAAAAACAAGCTCGGCAATCGCTAAAAATGCCATCTATAAATTGATCATCATTTATACATCAGCAACGCGTCACAACCTTATTCATGTAGCTGCCGTATATGGGCATCAAGCCATGCGGAACAGCATACGTTCAGGCGTTTGTTACTGCTGCCATCTAGGGCCAGGGGAGGGCATGAACTTTACTCGAGTAATGCGGAACAGCATACGTTCAGGCGTTCATTACTACTGCCATCTAGGGCCAGGAAAGGGCATGAACTTTACTCGAGTAATGCGGAACAGCATACATTCAGGCGTTCATTACTACTGCCATCTAGGGCCAGGAGAGGGCATGAACTTTACTCCGGTAATGCGGAACAGCATACATTCAGGCGTTAATTAGGTACTACTGCCATCTAGGGGCCAGAAAAGAGCAAGAGCTTTACTCGGGTAATGCGGAATAGCATACGTTCAGGCGCTCTCACCACTGTCATCTAGGGACAGGAGAGGACGTAAACTTCCTGGAGTAATGCGGCACAGTATACCTAAATATCAGGCGTTCATTCCCTGGCTCTCGCTCATTGCATGCGATGCGAAGTAGGCATCAGGGGTTTGGCACTATGGGCTTTTTATTGGCAATTGGCGAGGGGCGGAAGGCAGCGTGTTCTGCAGCTGGGCCCCATCCTTCTTCAGCATCACAGTCAGCGGTTGGACCCCCGTGAAGCGGGTGGGGATAAACCTGCTGAGCCAGGCGCTTGCGCTGATGAAGCTCCGTAGCTCCTTGATGTCGGTGTGGTGTGGTGCGTCCACCAAAGCCCTGGTCGACTGCAGATGTGCGACTCCGTACTTCGTCAGGCGGCCCAGTGAGCACAGAAGTCGACCTCAGGCTGGGAGAAGACGGACTTCTGCATGCTCACTGTGATACGAAGTCAGACCCCTTGCTGGTTCCGTATCGATTTACTAGGTGTAGGAACTTTGGTCGATTCTTATTTACTATTCTAGGGAGTTTCATCGATGGTAGGTACGAATATTCACCACAGTGCAGCGGTGACAGCAACAAACATCGAAATGCATTAGTCAAGTAAAGTACACAGGCTCTTCGCGAGGTGTTCCTGAAATTCGACCTTGAGCGTTTCGACCTTGTGACGCAGTTTGCGCCGCGTCAGCTCGGTAGTAGGCCGCCCACTGGATTCCCTGCCCCCGGCCGGCAGCAGCCGCCACCATTACCAAATCGGGCCACAGACGAGCCGATGACGTCAGGGTCACGTGGTGTGCGGCCGCCCGGCCGGTCACCAGGCTCGTCCGCGTGGGCTCTCGGCGATCGGCCGATTGGCGCACGCCGCACACCTTCCACCGGCAGCGGTTGTAACTGAGGGTGTTAGTCTCGCAGACGGAGGCGGAACAGCACCAAATAAGGCAGCTCCCGGCCGGATTCTGCGTACACGCCGACACGCACCCCCCGTCCGCACCGCACCGTCCGCCCGCGCGCTGTCAGCATCCCACACGCACCCCTCGGGAGCCCGGGACAGGCACAGCTGGACGGCACTCTGGAACCTTCGCCCTTCAAACTGCAGACGGAATTCTGTAACGTTTGCCCTTCAAACAGGATGAGAATCTAAGATTTACGCCATTCAATATGTTCATCAATTTCATAAGTCCTGTCAGACTGTTCTAACACTCATGCAAGTGACCCGAATGAATGTAAAGATAAACAGCACGGTTTGTCATGAAGGAATGTATGCGAGATAATTTGCCGGTGACACTTAATAGCTTAACCGGAAAGATAGTAAGCATAACTAAATATTGCAATTGTATAAGGCACCTTCATAGAACGGTACCTACTTCATTCGTTCACATATGATTTTTACTAGGTATGTTAACGGTTATCCGACCAAGCACTTCAGACTTCAACCCCTCGTCACCAAGCCCACCAGAGATCACTCGCAGGTATCGGTCGAAACCAGCCGCAGTTGGCAGATGCTCACTCGTCTGGGCATTGTCAGCGTGAGACATTGTTTTGACACTCGCGCTCTTAGCACCACTTTGGCGCATATCCATTAGGGCAGTCAGACTTGTGTCAAAACTGCGACACTCAACAGTGGTTGGGTCTCCCTTCCAGCCAACATAACACATCTATAAATTATAACTGCGGACAGCTGCCAACCGCCTACCTGGGTATTCTCGGTAGTTCATTGGAGTTTTATCCCCGGTACGACGCCGCGGGCTGCAGCTCCGTCGATCGTTGAAGAACCCACATCGGCGGCCACCTTCGATATCGACCGCCGGCGTCCCGAGTCCAAACAGATGCTAAAAGACAATAGACTCGGGGCGCCGGGTGCATCAACACTGGCGGGACGCCGGCTAGGACGGTAGGTAGGTATTCGTGGGGCCAGTTTCAGAAAAGGGTTGTCAAATGTCTAATGTCCGTACAATGTCAGAAATCTTAAACCTTTTTGTCTGAACTCTGCCAAAGCTTGGTTTTATTAAAGCTAGACATGGACAACAGTGATGCCAGTTTCAGCAACTAGAATTAAACGTTTTCAATTTATTTCTAATGCTTTTAGTTGTCCAAAGTTGCTTGTAGACATCACAACGTAGCTGAGATATCTACCGGCAAATTTATGACGAACGCGGAAATCGCTTAAGTGTCGCTTTTTTGTGTCTTGTTCCAAGACAGTTCCTTTTCCAACCGAATTTGAAATTGGACATTTAACGAAATCACTACTCCGAAGATCCGAGTTCCGATCGGCACCTAGAATTGGTACTTGTACTTACATACCTCGCGAGGCGCCGGCTAGGGCGCCACTCGGGACGTAATTCGGGGCATCATTATCATAACTCAAAGCATTTGTTGGCTGCACCATATTCTCGATCAATTAGAGATCCTACCTAACCGCAAAAAAGTCTGAAAAAGTTATTTCCCGATAAAATCATAGGTATACGGATCTGCGCCACAATTCATTGGCTCGCCTTGCCGTACCCCGCAGGCCGCTAACTAATTATTTCACACCACCATTTCAGTTCACACGGCGTTCGTTCGTCTGTCGGGACTCGGTAGCCCGTACTGCCCATCACGTGTGTCCTGCTGATGGCTCCACCAGGCCTCTCCCCGGAGTTCCCCGCGGAATTCCGGATGTACATATATTGGTCTCCGGAGACTGCAGACGGTAGCAACATTACCGACATTTGTATTTCGCACCAGCCAATGGAGGCCATATTTCGCCGGGATAGGTTTCAAACAAACAACTTTTTTATCCGGGCTCTCTGTCAGCGATGTAACTTAGTAAACGAGCTTGCTGCTCACCACGGTTGTATGGTTGATTTATACAGTGATAAATCAAAGAAGTTATGTATGTATAGTATAGATGTAGGTAACAGCTAAATGAAAGTTACCTACCTCCAATTTTCAAACTCCATATGTGCTACGGTTCGGGTTTTCATTTTTTACGACATACGAGCTGGTAAGGTCAATGGTCGCAGCACACACACCGTAGAAAATGTTTACCAATTCCCTAGTTATCCGGCCACTTTTCACTAACAAAATGCGAGTAGACTTCACTTTTCACTAACAAAATGCGAGTAGACTTCAAGTCTACTCGCATTTTGTTAGAGTAGGGTAGCCTGGGGCAAGACGCCCCAGATAATTTATTTTGCTCATAATTTATTCTCTCATAAGAAAACTTTTGTCCCACGTCACCTGGAGGGCCAAATTTGTGCTCAATGCGTTCTTTGGACATTTTACTTTAAATTCCACCCCTCAAATTCATTCACTTATGATCGGACTCCCAGCTAGGAAGTGGTTTGTGAAGCAACTGCAAATAGGGCGTTTTGCCCCAACCCCAGGGCAAAACGCCCCACGGCCTGGGGCAAGAAGCCCCATACTCTAGATTTAAGATTAAACATGCTAGTTGACTAAATCTTATATGAGAGGTCCGTTAGACCTTGGGAGGCACGGCACTGAAGTTAGCACCTTCCATCCTATCAGGTGTTCAGCTACGACACTATTGTATGCGCAGGTTTTTCACCTGCCTCATAAGGCCAAATAATAAATTATTGCAATGCAAATGTTAACAAAATACTTCCTTTGCCATCCAGTTGCTGAGAAAAGTACATATAAATGCATAGAAACATACCGTTCGCCAGCTACCGAACATTAGGAAGTGGGTAGTCCGAACAACACATGAGGTAAAACGCCCCATGGGGCTTTTTGCCCCGCGACCTACTGGGGCGTTTTACCCCATTACGTAGTTCGGTCAGAGAACAACGCCTTGCACTCCAGGAAGACATAATTTAACACGAACCAACCCGGCATTATAAGCGTTAGACAATAGTTGTTCAAAATACATAAAAGTCGTTAACCTGATGTGGACGATAAAAGAACGCCATGATGCATAATCTGACAACAAAACATAAAAATCACACCAAAAACACATTTTTGGCTATATCTCCCTAAAGATTCATCACAATTTCTTTCCAGTCTGCTCATATAATGATCGTATAGCGCACGTTTTATAGAAGAGAGGATGTGTCCCCAGAACCTTGCCAGTTTCGAGAAACATCGGTGAGGCGTTTTACCTCGGCGGGGCGACTCGCCCCGGTCTACCCTATGTAGACTTCACTTTTCACCAGCAAAATGCGATTAAACTTCAAGTCTACTTGCTTTTTGTTAGTGAAAAGTGGCCGGATAACTAAGAAATTAGTTAACATTTTCTTTTAGAGTGTATACCTGCGGTAACCTGCAACGGTCAGAGCTGAGCTACTGCTTTGTAACCTACGACTGTCGTCTGACCTGCGGCCATCGCTGCCTGCCGTGTCCTGCAGCTCTCCGAGTACTGACCTGCTGTCACCAGCCGGCGCCGGTATCCATTCACCAGTCCAATCCTATAGTTTCTGTCCTCTCCTGCAGTACTGAAGTCAACACTCCTGTAATCACACTTACACCCACACTATACAACAGCTCCCGGACCGGTCACAGCACCGCCACCGCGGGGAGCACAGCGAGTCTGTGTGACGGGGCGGCGTCACGGCGTTCCACCGTCACGGCCGGCCGCCCGGCGCCCCGCCACGCCCTGCACCCCTCGCGGCCCAGCTGTGTGCCGTGTGGTCGGGCGGTACTGGCAGCGGCGGCGGCAGGAGAGGACGTCAGGCGAACGGATGAATGACTGTGGACCGAGCCCGTGGCTGTAAGTGTAGGTCAGGAGGTCCCAGCGATAGTTATCAGCACTGTAGAAAGGAAGTCAGCTCAATATCCGGCGGACGGCAGCGGGCAGGACTGATGACAGCGCAGGCTATGCAAAAAGCACGCAAATTGAATCGCATGGCTGACCTCGCCATTCTGATCCATATGTCATACTGTCGCTTCATCTTGTGATAATTCAGTTTCAGGGCTTTCATTTTCACATAAAGTTCCACTTAGATATAAATTTATCAATAATAAACGGTTTCAAATATCTAAACGCCGAGCCATTATAATTGATCGACCATCGATTTGACTGTACTTACCATTACAAGAACAAAGCCAGCCTTTCGAGGTCCAGCCACGCTCAGCGAATTCACATGTGGTAATGCACCTGGCTCTGACTGCTCCAATGACGTAGGTACTGACTACAGATTATTTACCACTCGGCAGTTGCCGGGCGCTGCTCAGGTGCCCAGGAATCTTCTAAATGAATTGCTTAAGTACCTTCCGTCCTTCGCTTATGACCGATGCAATGCTTAATGAGGGCACTGTTATCTCTAAAAATGTCTAAACTTGCAAATATAAACATAGCGGTTGTCTTATTAGGGACTATTCTGCATCATTCACGGCTTGCCAACGATTTTTTATTTTGTTTGTATAACCGCCAAATGCTAATACTCGTAATGGTATATAATGCGAGACACACTTCCAAATAAGGAAGCTACTGCAGACTTGGTATTTAGCATCACTACGCTGACAATATGGTAAACATAATGAAACGAAAAAGCGTGTTCCTGAATACCTTGTCGCACTCGCCTGGTACAGCCCTCTGCAAACTGCGTGGTAGGTATTCTTTTTTCGACAAAACCGATAATAACGCGAATACTATGCTAACGGTCACTCGGACATCGTAACAGCAAGACGCACAAGACTCCGCACCTTAGATTGGGCTTACTTTGGTATACATTTTCCATCTAGTTTGGCAACAACACACAAAAGTTTATATCCGCCCCCAAAACGAACTTTTGCATTTTGTTGCTACACCAGGCGTATACTTTGTTCCGTGATAGACCCAATCGAAGGAGTGGAGCATGGCGCATCTATATGCAATGAGATCCGACCGACTGATAACTTAGCCTTTGAGTTATTATCGGATTTGGCGAAAAAAGAATACCTACCACGCAGTCTGCAGAGGGCTGTACGTCTATTGTGATTTTAGGACTAAAGTACGTATCGCTAAAGTACGTAGGACAAAAGTACGTATGCAAATGTTCGTACGCAAATATACGTAGGCGCTAAAGTTCGTATGCCAAAAGTACGTACGCAAATGTTCGTACGTAAAAGTACGTATGCAAAAGTACGTAGTGCATAAAGTACGTATGTCAAAAGTACGTACGCAAATGTTCGTACGCAAAAGTACGTATGAAAAAGTACGTAGTGCATAAAGTACGTATGCCAAAAGTACGTACGCAAATGCTCGTACGCAAAAGTACGTATGCAAAAGTACGTAGTGTAAAAAGTACGTATGCCAAAAGTACGTACGCAAATGTTCGTACGCAAAAGTTCGTATGCAAAAGTACGTAGTGTATAAAGTACGTATGCCAAAAGTACGTACGCAAATGTTCGTACGCAAAAGTACGTTTGCAAAAGTACGTAGTGTATAAAGTACGTATGCCAAAAGTACGTACGCAAATGTTCGTACGCAAAAGTTCGTTTGAAAAAGTACGTAGTGTAAAAAGTACGTATGCCAAAAGTACGTACCTACGGTTCGTATGCCAAAGCACGTAGTGTATAGGTACGTATGCTAGAAGTAGGGTATAGTAGTGTAAGTTGAGCCACTTTTTCTTTATTGCTGCCCTCTTGCCATACTATAGGGAACTCATGATAAATTCATATAGGTACCAAATAATATAGCTTTGTTCCTTTCGCCCATTTACTCATCGAGAAATTTTGCTATGGCTTGTAACAAATGCTCATTAAATAAAGAATAAGAAAGGAATTACACATTGATCAACTTAACCCATGGGTGGGGTACGTACTTTATACCCTACGTACATTTGCTATACGTACTTTTGTCCGTGACGTACTTGGTCCACACGTAGGGTAGACCGGGGCAAGTCGCCCCGCCGAGGTAAAACGCCTGGCGGCCTCACCGATATCTCTCGGAACTGACAGGGTTCTGGGGAAAGGTCCTCTCTTCTGTTAAACGTGCACTACAGGGTGTCTCAAAAAAAGTGTCACGGTTTTGAACATCTCCCGTTTCGTAATAATAAGGCCTACATCATTCAAATTTTCCACATTTAGTGGCAATGTTTTGACATTTTATGTGGTAAAATTACGAGTTCCTAGGTAGAATGGTTTTTACACTAGAACAAAAAAAAAAAAATAAAAAAAAGCTCAATTTTCGTGCTGTAGGAGATGGTACATCACGGCCTGCCGTCGATCCTGAAGAGTCTGGGCCCCTTTCGGCTGATGAATCCAGAAACAAGCTCATCAATGCATTTTTGAAACCTTTATAGGTAAGAACACCGTGTACAACTGCCATCTGGAGCACAGCAGCAAGCTGAGACACAGCCACAAACATGGGCAACGATCAACACTGATTGATTTTCAGACGACGCGAGTTTCCATGCTTCGACAGTCGACGGCATCTTTGATGGCAAAATCCTCTGCTCGGTTTTGTTCCGAAACACAAAGAGAAGAAAGGATAACTGATGGACAGTTTTAAAGTTCCTACTCAAACATGCAGAACTTCTGGGTGTGCGCAATGTGCAGTGTGTCACAAGTCCTTTGCACGGTGTCAGCGACTGCAGCTTTTGACGGAAGAGTCAGTCAGGCATGGCAACCGCGCTGTCTTGAGACTAATGGGTGATTGCGATTCCATTGTCTGTTTTGCATGGCGTTTTTTGGTTTCTTTGGTCTTCTTTGGTTCTAAGAAATTCTTATAATTGTAGGTAATTACTGACGAGCACGTTGCTGGGTGCAACAAGCAAAAGCCGAAGTCTTGCCGAAATCGTCGGCAGACAGTGACGTACCTATACTATCTCCTATAGCACCCAAAATTGAGATTTTTTTATTTTTTGTTCCGGTGCAAAAACCATTTTGCCTAAGAACTTGAAATTCTGCCACACAAAATGTCATACTATTGCCACTAATTCAGGAAAATTTGAACAATGTAGGTCATGTAGTTAGGAAATGGGAGATGTTCAAAACCGTGACACTTTTTTTGAGACACCCTGTATATGATCATTCTGGAAAGAAATTGTGGTAACTCTCTGGGAGATATAGCCAAAAATGTGTTGTTTTTTAGTGATTTTTATGTTTGGTCATCTGATTATGCATCCTCGCGTTCTTTTGTAGTCCACATCAGGTTAACGACTTTTATGTATTTTGAACAACTATTGTCTAACGCTTATAATGCCGGGTTGGTTCGTGTTAAATTATGTCTTGCTGGAGCGCAAGGCGTTGTTCGCTGACCGAACTACATGATGGGGTAAAACGCCCCAGTAGGTCGCGGGGCAAAAAGCCCCATGGGGCGTTTTACCTCATGTGTTGTTCGGACTACCCACTTCCTAATGTTCGGTAGCTGGCGAACAGCAAGTTTCTATGCATTTATATGTATTTTTCTCAGCAACTGTATGGCAAAGGAAGTGTATTGTTAACTGATTTGCATTGCAATAATTTATTATTTGGCCTTATGAGGCACGTGAAAAACCTGCTCATACAATAGTGTCATAGCTGAACACCTGATAGGATGGAAGGTGCTAACTTCAGTGCCGTGCCTCCAGCGGTCTAACGGATCTCTCATATAAGATTTAGCCAACTACCATGTTTGATCTTTAAGCTAGACTCTAGAGTATGGGGCTTCTTGCCTCAGGCCGTGGGGCGTTTTGCCCTGGGGTTGGGGCAAAATGTCCCATTTGCAGTTGCTTCACAAATCACTTCCTAGCTGGGAGTCCGATCATAAGTGAATGAATTTGAGGGGTGGAATTTAAAGTAAAATGTCCAAAGAACACATTGAGCACAAATTTGGCCTTCCAGGTGATGTAGCACAAAATTTAGGTAGGCCTGGTAGGCCTATGTAGCAAAATAGATTATCTGGGGCGTCTTGCCCAAGGTCTTTACCTTGCGTCTTTATCCTTCATTATACCCTACGTACATTTGCTATATGTACTTTTGTACGTGACGTACTTTTGTCCATACGTTTACGTACTTTATACCCTTACGTACTTCTGCCATACGTACTTTTTTCCGTGACGTACTTTTGTCCATACGTACTTTTTACCCTACGTACATTAGCTATAGGTACGTACTTTTGTCCGTGACGTACTTTTGTCCATACGTACTTTATACCCTACGTACTTCTGCGATACGTACTTTTGTCCCTGACGTACTTTTGTCCATACGTACTTTTTACCCTACGTACATTAGCTATACGTACTTTTGTCCCTGACGTACTTTTGTCCATACGTACTTTATACTGTACGTACTTCTGCAATACGTACTTTTGTCCCTGACGTACTTTTGTCCATACGTACTTTATACTGTACGTACTTCTGCGATACGTACTTTTGTCCCTGACGTACTTTTGTCCATACGTACTTTATACTGTACGTACTTCTGCGATACGTACTTAAATCCTACGTACTTTTGCTTACGTACTTTTGTCCTACGTACTTGAGCGATACGTACTTTTGTCCGTAACCCGTCTATTGTCCGACGGACAATCGCCACCATTAATCTCTTGTTGACAGTGTTTTACGTTCTATTTAGCGCTGTTCCCGGATTTTCTATTGTTTCCGATCGTATTGGAGCATCATGACACGCCAGCGTAGAAGCGTTCCACTTCCTGCACGAATCACCGTAACCCCGCCCATCCGCGTGACATGCGGGACAGCGTGTATTCAGAGATCGTGTATGAATGATGAAACAAACTAGTGATGGGGGTCACAAGGACTCTTCATTCTGGAATACTCGCGTTGATGGGTGCCGATGACATCCCGAGTTTGCGCACCCTTGAACCTAAATAATCGCTATTTATCAGCTGTCATTGTTGACAGCACTCGATGCCTGTTTCTGCCCTCGTATGTGAGCATCCACAGTGAATGCATGCAACTCGTGGGTCGTAATGCAACTCGTAGATGGAAATACAGCTCGTAGATCCGGTCAAGTGACCCGACCACCGGCACTCCTGTCGCCACGGATCCTCCCCGAACCGTGATTCACCCTCGTTAGTATCGCCTTTTGGGGAGATTGCTGCAGTGCATGGCTACTAAGCCATGCATGAGATATGTATGTGCTGGGGCATTCCACGATAGATCGACCAAAGCCGTACACCCTCATATTTTATTTTTTGCTTAAGATTGGTCTAATGGGTTGTTATGGGCGGGGAAGCCAGCTGTGCCAAGGATTTTTTCTTCGAACAACGGTTTCCGAGATATAGCCTCAGGCAATTCCTGGAGGTCACGCTGCAACCCTATGTTTGGCGGCTTATAACTCAGACACTATTGGTTTTCTATGGTAAAAACTTAATATGGTTCAACTCGCAATCAACCAACAAAAGTTTTGGCTATCTCGGATTTTCGATTTTTGAAAATTTTGATCACGTGACATCTTGACCTTTTTTTCGAAGAGTGACCTTGATATTTTCCCAACTGAAAGTCGCAATTATGTCTGATGACGATTAAAGCCTTATCAATTGTCATTCATATGCGCAAATAAAAAAAGTGGCTTACGGCCTGCGTTGACCTCAGGTCAGGTCATTTTTATGACCTGTCCATTATTACGAGCGAGAGCGACGCGAGATCTCGATAATAAAGCAAGATAGCGACAAGCGGTAAACGGTACAGGATTCACACGGATAAGGTCTACAATTTTTACGGAGGTCATTTTCAGGTCAGGTCAAAGATGACGTCACAGGGGTAAAAAGGAAGTCAAAATAGTTATGGCTGTACCTTTTGATCTAATAAAGAAAGAGACGTGGAACAGGCACCATTGTGTTTGCTTTCGCCTAGCTCCAGTTCGTTTTGAATTTCAATACCGATGACCTAAGATCAGGTCAATTTCTTGACCACCCCATTATAAGTCAATTGGGGAAAAATCAGCTCCCTTGTTTTTACACTAAAACGCGTCGAAATTGCCTAATATACCATGAGTGACTTCATATACGACTAACTTTGACTACCTTGAGACCTTTTTTGCTCTTGGTCAACTGTGACGTTGCTCTTGGGTCATGTGACTTCATTAAAGGTCACCAAATGTTTTTTTGCTAATAACTCCTTACAGGTTTGAGATACAGCCGCGCGGATAGGCTCATTGTATTCGGCTCGTCAAGGCCCATCGAATGATATATATGATGACCTTAAGGTCACGTGACCTAAGGTCAACTTTTGACCTTGACCTTTCGAGGTCAACATACACATGTTTCGATGCGGATCGACGAGAGGATCACGATGGTGCTATTAGTTTGTTCATAGCTGGGATACTTTGAAAGTTATTCGAGAAAAACTTCATATATATATGTAGTGCCGCCATTTAGACTTTCTTTTTACCCCTGTGACGTCATCTTTGATCTGACCTGAAAATGACCTGAGTAAAAATTGTAGACCTTATCCATGTGTACTTTGTGCCGTTTACCACTTGTCACTATCTTGCTTTGTTCTCGAGATCTCGCTGTCGCTCCCGCTCGTAATTATGGGAAGGTCATAAAAATGACCTGACCTGAGGTCAACGCAGGCCGAAAGCCACTTTTTTTATTTGCGCATATGAATGACAATTGATAAGGCCTTAATCGTCATCAGACAAAATTGCGACTTTCAGTTGGGATAATATCAAGGTCACTCTTCTAAAAAAAGGTCAAGATGTCACGTGATCAAAATTTTCAAAAATCGAAAATCCGAGATAGCCAAAACGTTTGTTGGTTGATTGGAAGTTGAACCATATGAAGTTTTTACCATAGAAAACCAATAGTTTCTGAGTTAAAGGCCGCCAAACATAGGGTTGCAGTGTGACCTCCAGGAACTGCCCGAGGCTATATCTCGGAAACCGTTGTTCGAAGAAAAAAATCCTTGCCACAGCTGGGTTCCCCGCCCATCACAACCCATTAGACCAATTTTAAGCAAAAAATAAAATATGAGGGTGTAAATTTTATTTATTTTTGGTCGATCTATCGTGGAATGCCCCTGCTGCATAATATGAAAGTCTGCAGAGGTAGCCGGATCTCCCTGCGACAAACTGTGTAGAGTGAGGTCTCGTATTCCGATGCATATTCCATGACTTGTCAAGGACACTGTGTAAAACTCCGGCGCCGTGATCTGAGAGCTTTAGGACGGCTGCTGCTGGTCAGGAGCTGTCTTAAACGGTCACCACATCATCCATCCGCGTCCGAGGTGTTTGACACGGAAGGACCTCCGGGTTCAGCATTTAATGACGCTCTCACATGGATCCCGAGCCAGGACAAATACCCCGTGGGCCAAACGCCAGCCGGGAAGGTTTCCGATTTACCCGTCGAAGACGATCAGTCAATCCGGCATGTCGTCATCATTTCATAAGAAAACAGCAGGCAGTTCGGTGATTTAATAAATATATTCAACAGTCGCATGTCATGACCATCGTAGCACGTACGGGAAACAAAATTTGACAACTCAGAAACGCAAATGTGCAACAACACCAACGGATTCGGAGTGGTCAGCGCAGAGTAATAGTTAAACATCAAAATGTATGTTTTATCGTACAATTACGGATGAAATGTTAATAGCTGATCCATAACTGCCTCTCAATGCAACGACCGATTTTGTCCAAATTCGAGGACGTCTCTTGCCGACTCTGGACAGAGATGTCCGTTCTGAATCCGTCAGTGCCCGTCCCTCTACACACTCTTCTATGCGTGGTGCGGAATCGACCCTCCGCTACCAAAGTGGGAATCCGAGTTAGCTCAGTTATCGTAAGGCGCCGACTGACTAGGCGCCCGGTAGACTCCCCGGCGGCTATGGATTCCCTTGAAGGACCCATCCACGGCTCTAAAGGCCGTCAGGGAGCCTGGAGAGCCCTCCCTGGCCCTCCTCGAGACGATGCTTCGGGACTCGAAGCCATGCGAACTGCGCGAGAATCACAAGTCTGAACAAAAGGCCGCGCTGCCGGCCCGGCGGCGCCCGGCGGAGTGGCGGCGGGTGTCTACTTGTTGGTGATTGGGATGTGGTTGGTACCGCCGAGCGCCGGCGGCAGCGGCGCCTCCACCGTCAGCACGCCGTCCTTGGAGAGCGACGACTTGATCATCTCCGGGTTGGAGCCCTGCGGCAGCAGGAACTCGCGGTTGTACTCGCGGTAGACGCTGCGACTGTCCGACTTCTCCTCGTGCTTGGCGTGCACCTGGGAACAGACACACAGGGGAGGTCAGTCAGGGGATTTCAAGTAACAGCACGGAGAGATGAGACAGACTCACGGAGCCTTGGCGTGCACCTGCGAACGGACACATGAGGAGAGGGAGGTCAGTCGCGGGGCTTCCTTTACTCGTTAATGTTTGCTTTTAACGGCACTGAGAGCTGAGAGACATAGAAGGCCTTGAGCTGCCTGAAGTGTGGGAGGTGGTGGATCAAAAGCTTTGCCTAAAAATTCCGCGGAGAAGCAAAACATTTATCTCTGTCGTGATTTATGGCCGGATTTTCCGTGACAAATTCACCGCGTCACGAGGAGTTTTCACTATATACCGACTCGACCGGCGCCTCTGGAGGCGTCAGCCCCTCTCGGAGCTGATCTCACGCCGGCCGGGCTGCCGCCATTGGCACCGCGCGGACCGCATTTCTGGACGATGATCGGTGCCGGGGCGGGGGCGGGGGCGGGGGTGGACCGACACCCCCGCCAGCCGCACCCGCTCCCACAAATATAGCGGCGGCGCCCGCTGGTGCAGGGCCGAGCGGGCCAGCGCGGCTAAAAATGACCCGCCGCGGCTGACGTGGCTTTCTGGACTCTGGAGCGCCTGGAGGGAGGCTTTCAGCGGCGCCCAGCATCGGAGAGGTCGCAAAGGGAAACTTAACCCTTCCGCGTCACGGTCTTACGCTAACGGTTGGATGTATGCCCAGCTACTGCCCTTGTGTTGCAATAATGAGGTCTGTAAATCAATGTAAAATTAATTGCAACATCATGATATATTAATCGTCCAGCGGGAACTTCCAAAGCGTGTTTGTTTGTTTGCTTTAATGAAACTCACATTTCCGCGGAAACCTTAAATAAACCGACCTAAGCTGTCCGCTGTTTCACTGCATGCCAAAAGACCGACGTCTCAGGTTACGAGGGTTGCTGAAGACAAAAGGGGCGGTGATCACACCGCTCTTAGCAACAGGTCTATTCTGGCAGACAAATAAACAATGATAACTACTCCATGATAACAGAGAGCAGCTGGTCTCAGCAGCAGGCGGCAGCTGCTCTCACCATTACCTGTTAGCAGCCAGCAGCTGGCAACTACAAATCTCATAAACCCAGCAGCTAGAGATCCGCGCTCGCTCAAATATTCCCAGGACCCGTGTTTCGCAGATAAGGACAACGATCGGGCGGCACGCGGCGTGAAGATCTCACCGGGCGCTGCTAACTGCCGGCCGGGCCATGTATGGGCGGCGGGCGCGGTGCGGTCGGTGCCGGCCCACGCGCGGAGCTCAGTGCCGCGCCGGCGCCGGGCCGAGGCCCTAATAGCCGGCCGGTCAGGCAAGCCGCCGACCGCGCGGCCCACGCACAAACGGCCGCGGCCCGGCCGGACCGCACATGTGGCCGGCCCAGAGGCCATCCTCGGCCATCCTTCCGCGCTGCCGAGCCGTCGAACAGACCCCGACTCGATGGAGGCCGTCGCAGCTCGCTGCCGGCCCGGCTCCGGTCTGTGCCGCCGCCGCCGCTGCCGGCGGCCTGCCCTGAGCGCAGCTGTGACCGCCGCCCCCGCCGCCGCCCCCGCCGCCCTCGGGCGGCTCCTGACGTCACCGGGCGGCGGCGGCGGCGGTTAGGGCGGCTGCCCGCCGGCCGCCCCAGGTGTCGGCAGTGACCGATCCCCAGGCCGCCGTGAGGGCTGTCAGAGCGGCTCACCGCAGTGCCGCCGGGAAATAAACAGCTTCTAGCAAGACCGAGCTAATTTATCCGCCAGTCAGTGGATCAGACGGCAGTTCATTACGACTGTTATTCCAACTCGCCACGAGACGGCTCAGGGCCTAACGAGCTATGATTGTGGCTATTTCACCCAACGGCAATATCAACAGCGCCCAGTGGCTCGAATCGATTTGCCGTTCCAAGATGCTCGGTATATGGCGAAGGAAGTTGTTTGCAACGATTGCGGCATAGTAGGAAGCCTTCCGATCTATACATGGGCCCCGGCTATCGCTGCAAACTTTACGAACCGGAAGTCTGACAGGTTTCGGAGCCTCCCTATGAAATTCGCCGAAAGTGTTGGCCTCGTTAGGTCGGTAACCATGCCGACAGACACATCACGCCCGGTCACGGGTCACGGGTCCAGACGGCCGCAGTAGATGCCCTCATTTCGAATTCACGCTAAAATCGGCCCCGGTGACGCCGGCGAGCTACTGGATCCGATCGAGCCGCCCTGCCCTGAATTAGGAGCGATTAAATTCGCTCGATGTATGTTGTGTTGACACGGTAATGTGATCCGTTTGATAAAACAGCTGGCCCGGTCGCTCCCTCGTCACTGCGGCTCCAGCCAGGAGCGCCGGCCCCACTTAACTCTGTGTTGAGAGACCAATGACGTCAACTGAACATGTTTGGAACGCCGTCCACTGCACCGGTCAGCATGAGCGGCTTCGGCGCAAGAAATGCTTGCGGGAGTGTCGAATGCCGGCCCGCTTACAACTTTTGCGGGGTGTTTGAGGTCGCTCGAAGTGCCACCAAAACGTCGCTATTCACAGCTACCCTGATCAGAGCGTATGATTTATTCTACTACCAAAAGAGTAGCGATATTATTGAAAAACGATTAATTATTCTTCAAATGTTAGACAATAATTGGCCCGAAGAATGTCAACTTGGCCGTTATGCTATATTTGGACATAATGATAACACCAAGGGAAGAAAAGACCCCGAACCTTTTTCCCTTGAGTCACTCACCAGGAGTTTGTTATCGACGGTTTTTACGACGATCTCCTCAGGTTTGTACTGGCTGACGTCGAAACGCAGCTTCAGGTGCTTCTTGTCTCCATCCTGCAAATGCAAAACATATCAATTATATGTAACGTTTACTTAGTGTAGCCCTTACTGAACGCCTACAACCAAAGCTATTCACGAACGATGCTTTATCAACCATGAAAACCACGTAGCCAAGTCGCTGAAAGTCACTGCTGCTTTGGTTCCACCCAGACCCATGCTGAATGAAGAGCTCCTGAACTCAGCTTACAAACTACCCATGGGAATCTCACTAAAACGTCCCATGCCCCCAGCGAGGCCTCAAGGAAAGTGTGAGGGGGAATTCGAGCTCGAGGACGCACCTCCTGGACGAGCGGCGAGTTGAGACTCTCGATCCAGTTGTGCGGCGGCGCGCACCGCGCCAGGTCCATGTTGGTGTTGGAGTTGGTGTTGGTGCCCGACGTCTGGTGAGACGAGGTCGTCGTGGTGCTGCCGGACGAACACACCGTCAATACACGCACTGAGACTGAGACGGCTTAAAACACGGCTTACCCGTGTTTTAACGACCTGTCAGTCCGCAGAACGAGCTTAATTACCACATCAGCGTCTGACCCTACATCATGTCGTGACCGCCCACCCACACTGCACGTCAGTGGGTCAGCGGCTCACTGACGTGCCACCGTCCGGTGACGGTCCTGACGTCACGGGGTGTCGGTGCAGGAGGCACGCGCCATAAAAGGTGTGACTGGCTGCTCGGGTGGACGGCACGGCAGGGACAGCGGCGCCGGCTGACCGGCCGCAGCGCCGCACAGGGAGGGCCGGGGGTGACAGCCGGACAGGAACGAGATAGGCGGTCTCGGGTGGCAGGACGGACAACAAGGTGAAAAAACGGAAAAACGTTTTCCACTCTGTCTAGGGTGGCAGGGTGGAAAACGGAAAACACTAACCGCTCCAAGACGGACAACATGGAGAGATTGGGGAGTGGCTGGTGCGGACTGCAGACACCCTGCTGGCGGCGGATCAGACGGCAGAGCTGGCAGGGGAGGTGGATGGGAGGTGAGTGGGACTGCAGGCTTACTGGTGGGTGCGGCGGGTGACGGGTCAGACGGGAGAGCCGGCAGGGGAGGTGGTGGGAGGCGGGTCGGACTGCAGACGATAGGTGGCGGGGCGCACTGCAGACGAGGCGAACGGGTGCAGCCGGTGATGTGGACAGACACACGCCGTGTTTGCCCTCCCGCTCCCTCAGAGTGGACAGTGTCCGTCTCAGGCTTCGGTGGCTCCGTCAATATTGGCCGCCACAATGACGTGCCGGTATTGGATGGTGAGCCCGTGCAAACGTGCCTGAGAGGCGAGCTTCTACAAACTACGGACAAACTGCACAAATGGATGACATTGAAAAAGAAATAGGTATTTATGAAAAAGGCTGACTTCCTTCGAGGGAAGTTAAGACTTCAACACGAAATAATTCATTCAATGAAAGAGTTAAATTGTAATTTTTGCAGTAATTTAATCGAATCATTGAATCGTTTTTTTTTAGAGTTAATCCACATATTAAAAGTCTTACGTCTACATACATTAGGTATTGCTTTCGCTGTATCTATAAGCGAGCAGTGACAAATGACGAACATTTTACAGCCGAGGCCAGTCTCGTACCATCATGCAGCCCGTGGATGCAGGACGATTTTTGCAACTGGACTGTTGTTTGCACAGTGAGAGAGCGGGAGTGGCAGCTGATCACGACTCACGTCCCAGTGCTAATGGACTGGCAGCGGCGCCAAACACACGGCGACACGACGTGACGTCAAGGCATATAAAGCAGACGAGGAGGGGCGGGCAGGGATTCACCGACGAGGGACCAGGAATCCAATGACGAAAACGACTAACTACATGCTTGCAATATACGTACTACCGATACGCTGTGTTATCACCAAAGAAGCGACTCGCTATACACAAAGCGCACGTCCGCGCCGCAGGTTCACTCACCTGTACGACGAGTTCTGCTGAGTGATCATTGACGATGGAAAACTGCAATCAGAATACAAAGAGAGCCAAGCGTTAGTTCATTAGCATGTACCGGTGGTTCCACCCAGCATCGACACTGCATCTGCCTTTGTACAGCATTAATCGGTCCGCTCAGATTGAGCTGTCTACATAGTGTTAGGCGATCCGCCTCAGTAAAAGCTGTAGTAAAACTAGAATGGTACAAAAATCTGTTCCGAATTAGGCATTACGACGGTGACTAACCCAGTGAGGGCAGCACCGCATGTTAGTCGTAACTGGTGAGTAGTCCGCCAATGTCACATACCCTTGCCCGACATTCTTCCCAAGCGACCCTGAGGGCCCGTGGCCAATGGACAAGTTAACGATGAGCAATATACTATACAAAAGATATCCAGCTATCACGTAGGTCTGTTCGGGGAAATGGCTGAAACTGCTCCCGAGCTCACCAAGAGCGAAAGCTCCAAGGGTAATAGTGAAAACGAAGCGGGATTAGAATTAGGCATTACGACGGTGACTAACCCAGTGAGGGCAGCACCGCATGTTAGTCGTAACTGGTGAGTAGTCCGCCAATGTCACATACCCTTGCCCGACATTCTTCCCAAGCGACCCTGAGGGCCCGTGGCCAATGGACAAGTTAACGATGAGCAATATACTATACAAAAGATATCCAGCTATCACGTAGGTCTGTTCGGGGAAATGGCTGAAACTGCTCCCGAGCTCACCAAGAGCGAAAGCTCCAAGGGTAATAGTGAAAACGAAGCGGGCTGTTTTAATGTCTGTCATGAAATTCAATGGTGTCGTGATATGTTTTCCAGGGCACAGCAATATTTTTTTGACGTAGCATAGCGACTGTGTCACAAGTCAGTTACCCAAGGCCGACAAAAATGTACCGACGACCGCCGCACGTGCATAGTGATCCTGATAAGAAAAAAACTTATATTTATACCTCGGTTGGTCCTGCATGCAATTGCAAGACCAACGCCATCGTTTGCAATATGAACACCGAAATGTATCCCAGTTTTCAAAGCTGTGCCGACGCCCCGACGGCATTGGAAGGCTGTGCCTGGCTACGGGCCAGGACACGTTCGACAATAACTCGAAGCCACCTGAAGTTGGACAAACATTCCTCCGTCTGGGTCGGGACAGCGGGACGCCATGCCGGTGACAGAGAGTCGGCCAAACAGACAGTACGGATTTACAGCCAGTGGGCGGACCGTCTGACACGAACCTCGGCCCCATGATATAGACCGACCCATGATAAAGACGGTCCGACACGGCGCCTCTGTTCGACGCTCTTTATGTGGAGCGGCTGATGATTAATGTATTGCGCGAGTGATATTCGATGCTTTGCAGCTGGACTTGACACGATACCTCGGCTATTGTCCCCAGTTTTGGGAAGAACCGGGATCAACAATTGAGGCGACATTGCAATGTCGCGGCCACCTGCAGCAGCGCCCTTGATTCGAATTCGAACGAGTTTCCGAAAATTGGGAATAGCCTGAATGCCTGAATCGGCAAAAATGCACAGCAATGTATTGTTTCCAGCTGGAGCACGACAAGACACTGCACCTCAACACGACTTGTTTTCTCCGTCAGGCAGGTATGTGTCAAACTGTTGAAATTGAAAACCACATGAAGCGCAACAGTTTCAAAGACTAACGAGCAATTAGCTGAAGCAAGTATAAGAAAGACACGCCATTTAAACGACTGATGGTCCGCACTGAATTTGTAATAAAGTGTAACTGTATGTATAGTCCTGTCACTGTGCCCCTCGCTCGCCACTCCACGTCGTGTGCATTCTCGACACTGCACCGCGGCTGGCAACGGGACAGCCTCGGGTGCCGGCGGGATGCCTGCCTGTTTTTGCGCGCTCTGGAAAGGTGGTCGGTGGCCGGTTTGGCCAGCACAGTGCCAGCTGATTGGTGCAGCCACTCCGGCCGACCGCTTTCCACAGGTCAACTCCTTCGGCAAGTTCACTTAGGAACGCACGGCTGAAACGGCGAGCGACGGGAACTCAATAGAACGAGTTTGGCGATCACCGGCCACCGGAAGGTGGACGGCGGGCTCAGCGGAGCATAAACAGATCATCTGTCTTGCTGCCGACGGACGGAGGCACAGCGGCCGTCCTGAGGCACAGCGGCGGCCCGGTGCCACCACGGCCTGTCGTGCAGGCCAGTACCGTGCTGTGACGCGGCACCGGCCAAGTTTACCGGATAGTGGCGACCGGCCGGCCGGCTCGGCGCCGCGTGGTACCCGTTCCCGTTCCCGGGAATCTCGCGTGTGCAACGGACAGTGTGAGCGACGGCCCACCGTCGCGCGGACGCGCCGCCAAGGTGTCGCGATCTGTCGCGAGTGTAGTTCATCAGCCGGCGACGAGTGACCTCCGTCCGGTGTGATATAGCGCGACGCGGAGTTTTGTACTCGCTCACGGGGCCTCCCTGTAACAAAGACTCGTGCCCTTCGACCGGTGGACGAACCCGAACAGACAGCAGCAGGAGCGGCCGACACGATCCGGCCCCAGCCACGTTCGCAACATCGGCTCGCGAGAACCAGTTTGCGCCGAGAGGTGTCGGTGCTCCGGTGTGGCCGGCTGGGCGAGCACGGCGCGCCCGGCACGGACAGCTGAGGGAGCACGGCGCGACCGGCACGGACAACTGAGGGAGCACGGCGCGCCCGGCACGGACAGCTGGGAGAGCACGGCGCGCCCGACACGGACAACTGAGGGAGCACGGCGCGCCCGGCACGAACAACTGGGAGAGCACGGCGCGCGGCACGGCCGGCTGAGGGAGCACGGCGCGCCCGGCACGGACAGCTGAGCGAGCACGGCGCGCCCCGGCGCCGCACCGGAGGAGCTGCCAGCATGGGGCGCAGCGTGCCTTACCGGCGTCTGTACGCAGAGGTAAGTGAAATGCACCGTCCGTGTGCGCTTACACCCGTGAGTCACGTGTTTTGAAACCCGAGCAGTGATAAACAGGTGATTCACGCCTCCTCAGTCGGCGCGGCGCTGTGAAACCCCGGCGCCCCGCCACGGCGCACCACCTGTCTGACTAAATCTATGGCCTTGATTGTACATAAAGTCAACAGGGCGGCACGCAGGGCTGCGTTTCACCGGTCGCCCCCGCCCGCGCTGGACGCAGTGTGGGCGGACATTAGGCGGCAGCAGGGGCGGACACTGGCTATTCCCTGCACCGCCCACCGCCCCAGCTAGATACTTTCTAAAACGGCGTGGGAGACAAAATGACTGGGGAGATGAAATTTTATGACTGAAAAGTTTATCGCCTTTTGCTGTCAGAATCAAATATCTTCGACTGGCTCTTATTAGATAAATATAAAATTTGTTTGGAAAATTATGAACCACAAAGGTTTCTCAAGAAGGCAATCAGCGATTTTTACCGAAATATAGCAGTCCTATCAATTGGCATTCTGTGCTAGTCGTTACTCGAAATACCTAGGCCGCTATTAACAGCCGTTTCCACGTCGAAGAACATCTAGTAAATCAGCCACATTCAGATACCAACAATGGCCGAACGTGCGCAATTTGGACGCCTCTAGATTCAAGGTAATTTTCCCTTTGGCATTGCGAAGTAGATTGTTGTGTCAGTTGGAGCTTCCTGTGGCACCTTGCAAGGCCGGTGAATCACTAGCGCCCTGGTCCAAAGACAATGCCCTCGGCACGTTTTCCGCCCTCTCCGGATCTTCCCAGCTTGACCAACAATGAACACAAGGCGGAAACTTTACCGCAATCCACAATCCAAAACTGTCCACACTAGACGGCTGATGGCCATCGGCGGCGTGAGGTGGCATGCGAACCGTTTAACCGTTACGACACACACCCAGCCAGCTTTGCATTTTTCTCTGCCGATATGGTGCACCCGCGGTTCGCGCTATGCCAGGTTAAATGTTAGCGTGTCAACGAGTCACGTGGTCGCTATATGCAGCGTGAGTCAGGTCCGTGCCGAGCCGGTGACCCGGACTGACCCGAGTCCCTGGCGCTCACCTGGACGAGGTGATGCTGCTGTGCTTGCGGGGCTCCTCGCGGTGTAGCAGCTCCGACCGGAACCGGGTCATCTCGTCCTCCATCTTGCGCATCTCGGCGTCGAAGCGCTCGCGGATGCTGCTGAACTCGGTGTCGATGACGCTGTGGTCACCCATCTTGATCGGCACCTGGCGGGCCATGACTGACGACTGACTGATTGTGACTGTGACTGAGACTGAAACTGACTGACTGACTGCTCGCCGGCTCTCTCGCTCACACACTACCGACGCGCTGACGGTATGGACTCGACTCGACCTGGCCCCGAGCAGCGTCGATTTAAATAGGTAGTGGCCGCGCCGCCGCCGGGCCGCCGCGTCTGCAGCACCCGCCCAGAATGGCCCGGCCTCAGTGACGTCAGCACCTCGTGCAACAGGGGCCCGCGCGCGCGCCGCCCGCCCGGCGGGGGCGGCTGAGAAACCTCGAGAAGGGGCGGCCACCGGGGCAGGTGACTCCCGATTTGGTGATTGGGCACCTCAAATCGTTCGACTGCGGGTCGAGCTGTCTCTGAGAAGGGGGCGACGCTCCAGTCCTCCAGAAGCGTCTCAGAATTCCGCCGATCGCCCACCGAGCAGAGACTGCCCGCCGGAGCCGGCCACATTCCACACATTGCACAATCACGTGCGTCCTGCATACTCATACCATAGTGTAATAAATAACAAGTGAAGACACTTCGATTACTCGAGGGCAGCGCTTTTCGAGGAGCGCTGTGGCCCGAAGGTTTGGACTTTGAATTGTGAAAAACGCCCGCCCGCCGGAAAACGCAAACACCGCAAAACGCGCAAAACGCACGCCCGAAACGCCAACGCAAACGTCGCAAAAAATAAACAAACGCCCGCCCGCCGCAAACCGCAAATAAAAAACGCAAAAACGCCGCAAAACAATAAAACCGCCCGCCAACCGCAAACAAATTTAACACCGCAAACGACGCAAAAAAAAAGAAGAAAACCGCCCGCATCGCCCGCCCGCCCGCCCGCCCGCCGCCAAAGACAAACACCGCAAAAAACACAAAACGCCCGCCCGCCGCAAAACGTAAACACCGCAAAACGTGTAAAACGCACGCCCGAAAAGCCAACGCAAACGGCAAAAAATCACCCGACCGCCGCAAACCACACAGAAAAAAACGCCGAAACGCCGAAAAAAATAAAACCGCCCGCACCGCACCGACGCTAACTGCTAACCGAAAACGACTAAAAGTCGCCCGCCAGCCGCCAAACGCAAACACCGCAAATAAGCGCCCGGCCGCAGCAAGATAATAATTTATCAGCGGCTGGCATACCGCTAGGCTGGTCATTTTCACAAATCAAAAAGATATCTGCAAAAATCTCCTAGATGAAAGCGCCCGATTAAAAAACGGATGGCACGTGCGTGTTCCTCGCCCCCAACTTCCTTCAGGTCAATCGTCATTTGGGTCATCTAACGCATTGACGTATCTGCAAAAATCTCCTAGATGAAAGCGCCCGAGTAAAAAACGGATGGCACGTGCGTGTTCCTCGCCCCCAACTTCCTTCAGGTCAATCGTCATTTGGGTCATCTAACGCATTGACGACCGGCTGGGTGGAATGAACATTGCGCCAAGAAACGTAAGTATATTGTCAAAAAGAATCCCCAGAGTGGTGGATCCCAAAAGTTTGAAACTACCACTTTGGCCCACTGGACGACACCTTAAACAGTTGCCGACCGGATGACACCCATTGTTTGGTCACCCACGCCATAGTATGCATCATGGGTGCGCCGAAATGACCAAAAGTCCCAATTTCCGGTGTGCAGGGTCATTTTCAACGGCACGTGGCACGTGGTTCTGGACTTTTCCGGCCACTTTGCGACATACCCATGGGTAGTGCACCGAATGGTGGTTGATCTGCATGTAAGAAAATGGGGGGTCGTTTGGATCGTTTTCGAGCAATCTGCCGTGGAACGCATTTTTTCATTTTCCCCATTGGCTTAACACGGGAATTTTTAAAGTCACGTGGCACGTGCACCAGATGGTCCGCGGAGGGGAGACCCATACCAGAACGTAGATCACCTGGCCCACTAGAAATCCTGAAAAAATCAGAATATTTGGACCAGCCGTTTTCAAGAGCATCAAGTTGTACTGATCTCAGGCAGCTTTTGCCAAATTGTCAGGGAACTCAGATTTGTTTTTCAATAGAAAAACACAATTCTAAAGAATAGTGTTTTAACTATTGACAACAAACCTTCGGTTACCAGCATCTGCGATGCTGGGCTCCGCATCGCGGGACCGCAGGTTGTTTGAGCAAGCACCTCTGTAACGCCGCAAAAACGCCCGCCGCCAAACGAGAGGATGAGACTTGCACGTGCAGCCCGGAGCGGGTGTGTCACGAACTGACGTGCACTGCACTCTACTAACCGGTCTCTAGCGGTTTGCCAAATTTGAGTGCAATCGACCCGGCCGTTTTCGAGATCTGGAAGTGACACCCTGCACGTGCGCACGTGCAACCTGGGTCCCAATTGACTTGTGCACGGCACTCTATTCGCCGGTTTCTAGCGATATACCAAATTTAATCTGAATCGGCCCAGCCGTTTCCAAGATCGGGAAACGACCCCTACCCGTGCGCACGTGCAGCTGCACCCCAACCGTGGCACATGAAAATACATACTAACTGACTTGTGCACGGCACACTACTAACCAGTCTCTAGCGGTATGCCAATTTTGAGCACAGTCGGCCCAGCCGTTCTTGAGATCTGGAAGCGTCAGCCTGCACGTGCGCACGTGCATAACGGGTCCCATCTGACTTGTGCACGGCACCCTACTAACCAGCCTCTAGCGGTGTGCCAAGTTTGATCACAATCGGCCCAGCCGTTCTCGAGATCTGGAAGCGTCACCCTGCCCGTGCGCACGTGCAGCGGCACCCCAACCGTGACACATGGAAATGCATTGCCGGGTGCGTGCCAACATCCATGCAAAGTACCAGCGCAATCGGCAAACTAACTACAGAGTTATTAGACTTGTTACTGAACTGACTTCTCATCGTTTTGCACGTGGCACGTGCATTAGGGGTCACCCATACGCATCGAGAATAGCACACTACGTGTAAGAAAGGAAGAAGCTATCCCACACAAAAGACCGCGAGTGAATTGGTCAAGTAGTTGTGGAGATAGAAGCTTTGCAAGGCGCCCCCAAGGCGGCCGAATGCTAATATTTAGCAATAATCAGTGTCGCATCCGCACACGGGAGGTATCCCCGTCACCTGTTCGTATACTCTAATGTGGTTGGGTTCAAGTCACAGTCGAGCCCTGATTTTTTACAGCTTTTCTTAAAAACGGCACATCGTGCAGTGACGTGCTATGCATCAGTGGAAAGAGCATCAAAAGTTGTATATTATATTAACTTTTCACCTATAAATCTTACTAAAGATAAAAGTTATAGAGGAATAAAGACGCTCCCATTGACTTTCCATGTTAAAAATTTTAAATTTCAAATTAACTTTAAAAGAAAAAATGAGTTTTGCCACCTTAACGAAGCATACCAGCAAGTATTATGCTCTTTCCTCTACAAGATATAAGAGTTTGGGCGAAATCTATCTCTAAAATTTTGTACAAAGATCGAATGAAAATGTCTCTGCAAAGTCTCGACATCGCCGTCCATTGACTTAACATGGGACACAGCAAGATTCCAACTTTGACCTCGAGCAAAGACACGTTACGAACTTCTGAGGGGTATACGGCGCACACTGGCGTGTACCGGAACGTGTTTGCCATAAAATGCTGGGAAGAAAACGACCTTTTTCTTGGCTCGTTTTTCCGCCATTCCCGATGGCGCAAAAAGTGTCCAAAACCCCATTGACTTAACATGGGGAAAATGGAATCGCACGTGCCACGTGCCACGAGGTTTTAAGCGAGTAGCGACCGGTGCCATAAGGTAGATCGCCTCCGGGAGCCCATACACTGAACTTTTTACGAAGATTGTACATTTCGTCTAGGCCCCGCTCAAGTTGCCCCAATCTCAGGCCAACCATGCAAAACATAGCCCGGTGAACGACTGCTCCGGTTGTTTTTCAATAGAAAAACACAATTCTAACGAATAGTGTTTGTCTTTTCAAACAACCTGCGGTTACCGGCATCTGCGATGCCGGGCTCCGCATCGCGGGACCGCAGGTTGTTTGAGCAAGCACCTTTGTAAACGCAGCAAAAACGCCCGCCACCAAACGAGAGGATGAGCCTTGCACGTGCAGACCGGAGTCGGTGTGCTACGGACTGACGTGCACGGCACCCTATTCGTCGGTCTATAGCGGTGTGCCAAATTTGAGTGCAATCGACCCGGCCGTTTTCGAGATCTGGAAGCGACACCCTGCACGTGCGCACGTGCAGCCTAGGCCCCAATTGACTTGTGCACGGCACTCTATTCGCCGGTTTCTAGCGGTGTACCAAATTGGAGCTCAATCGGCCCCGTCAATTTCAAGATCTGGAAGCGACCCCTACACGTGCGCTCGTGGAGCTGCACCCCAACCGTGGCACATGAAAATACATACTAACTGACTTGTGCACGGCACCCTACTAACCAGTCTCTAGCGGTATACCAAATTTGAGCACAGTCGGCCCGGCCGTTCTTGAGATCTGGAAGCGTCAGCCTGCACGTGCGCACGTGCATAACGGGTCCCATCTGACTTGTGCACGGCACCCTACTTACCAGCCTCTAGCGGTGTGCCAACTTTGATCACAATCGGCCCAGCCGTTCTCGAGATCTGGAAGCGTCACCCTGCCCGTGTGCACGTGCAGCGGCACCCCAACCGTGACACATGGAAATGCATTGCGCGGCAGGTGCCTACAACCATGCCAAGTATCAGCGCAATCGGCAAAATAACAACAGAGTTATAAGACTTGCCACCGAACTGACGCCTCTTCGTTTTGCACGTGGCACGTGCATTAGGGGTCACCCATACGCATCGAGAATAGCACACTACGTGTAAGAAAGGAAGAAGCTATCCCACACAAAAGACCGCGAGTGAATCGGTCCAGTGGTTGCAGAGATATAAGGTTTCTAAAGGCACCCCACAGGCGGCCGAATGCTAATATTTAGCAATAATCAGTGTCGCATCCGCACACGGGAGGTATCCCCGTCACCTGTTCGTATACTCTAATGTGGTTGGGTTCAAGTCACAGTCGAGCCCTGATTTTTTACAGCTTTTCTTAAAAACGGCACATCGTGCAGTGACGTCCTATGCATCAGTGGAAAGAGCATCAAAAGTTGTATATTATATTAACTTTTCACCTATATATCTTACTAAAGATAAAAGTTATAGAGGAATAAAGACGATCCCATTGACTTTCCATGTAAAAAATTTTAAATTTCAAATTAACTTTAAAAGAAAAAATGAGTTTTGCCACCTTAACGAAGCATACCAGCAAGTACTATGCTCTTTCCTCTACAAGATATAAGAGTTTGGGCGAAATCTATCTCTAAAATTTTGTACAAAGATCGAATGAAAATGTCTCTGCAAAGTCTCGACATCGCCGTCCATTGACTTAACATGGGACACAGCAAAATTCCAACTTTGACCTCGTGCAAAGACACGTTCCGAGATTCTGAGGGGTATACAGCGCACACTAGCGTGTACCCAAACGTGTTTGCCATAAAATGCTGGGATGAAAACCACCCCTTTCTTGGCTCGTTTTTCCGCCATTCCCGATGGCGCAAAAAGTGTCCAAAACCCCGTTGACCTAACATGGGGAAAATGGAATCGCACGTGCCACGTGCCACGAGGTTTTAAGCGAGTAGCGACCGGTGCCATAAGGTAGATCGCCTCCGGGAGCCCATACACTGAACTTTTTACGAAGATTGTACATTTCGTCTAGGCCCCTACCAAGTTGCCCCAATTCGCTGCCAGACTTGCAAAACATAGCCCGGACAACGACCGCTCCGGTTGTTTTTCAATAGAAAAACACAATTCTAACGAATAGTGTTTGTCTTTTCAAACAACCTGCGGTTATTTTGTGTAATGCGTTTTCTTCTGCCGGAAGTAGAAAAACACAATTCTAACGAATAGTGTTTGTCTTTTCAAACAACCTGCGGTTATTTTGTGTAATGCGTTTTCTTCTGCCGGAAGTGCTCTCTCAGAAAATCAATAGAAAAACACAATTCTAACGAATAGTGTTTGTCTTTTCAAACAACCTGCGGTTATTTTGTGTAATGCGTTTTCTTCTGCCGGAAGTGCTCTCTCAGAAAATCAACGATATCTGATGACGATTGATGACGTTTTCATCATTGTAGTGCAAAAGTTTCATCCCTGTAGTGAAAACTTCTAACCCAAGAAACTACTATCCAAGCTTGTAGTTATATAAGTGTTGGTTTTAACAGCTAATTCACC